AATAATTATCATTAGAGCAGAATAAATTTTTTAAAAATTAATTTGTTTTTAAGATGAAGCAGTGCAATTTTTCAGTTGATTTTGTTCTAAAATAAATTGGCAATTTCATGTTGAACAACCAATATATATTTACTAAGTGTAACTTAATCTGTTAGGAAGAGAAAGAATAAGATAATAGTTACATTCATTTTTTTTTGTTACTTGTACATTCTTCTGTGAGTAAATTTAAATTTCACCCGCTGATGGGGCTCTGTAGCTAAATTAGTAAAATGTCATCTATGCCAGATAAGCTGCTAAGGATAATGGATGCAAGTTAAAATTTCATTAGAGGCTACTTTTTTCTCCCCAGTTTGTGATACGTCTTTGGAATCGCCTTGTAGAATAAATAACTATAGTATATTGCAATAAAAAGTAACAAAAATAAGATGAAAGAAAAACTAAACAAAATTAATGACTATACATGAGGGTGCATTAAATCAGCAGCCTAAAATTGTTATTGATTGAATTTTGATCTGTTATAGACAAGCGTATGGTTGCAAGAAAGAAATACGACAACAGCAGAAATAGATTTACATGATTTATTTCAACAGGAACGTGTGGGTTTGGGACAGCTACCTTGTGGTAAAGTTCATAAGCTGGCTTCGAATCTGGGTTGATCTCTCATAGTAGTTCACACTGGTTGGCGCTGGCGCTCCCCCTGCTGACTGCTCGGCTGGACTGTGACAGGTCTCTTCCCTGACCTCCTGTCAACTGCCATTGTACTTCCGTATGACCCCTTTTAAGGCATTTTTTTATGGCTTAACAGGCTCGAAAAACGACGCGAGTACAATTAGGAGGGAAGCATTTTTATTGGTCGAAAAATAGAAACACTTTAAAATATTATGCGTAAACAAAGATAATGGTCATTTTGTGACGGGGCCTTGTCCTCTTCACATTCGGCTCTCGCTCTTGAGTATGTTAGTTTATTTGCCTGTAAATCAGCCGAGATATGTCTTAATTTATTTTATAACAGATCTAATATTTTCATTTTATAATGATTGATCTATGTGATTTAGTATTCACCCTTGAATTAATGCATTAACTGAAAAATTTGTCATGTAAAATAATGCTTTTTGTTCTTCAGTAAGCTTTAGACATTGATCTATCTACATATATATTCCACCTACCTTGTGTATATCATAATTTAGTCGTGCATTCTATGTATAATTCTCTTAGTTGTACATATTCATTTCAAAACTATTTTCTAATGCAATAGTTGATGTATTCCTCATTGTGTTTGCAAGCTGATTAGAAAAATAAAACTATATGATACTATAATTTAATATTTTATTTTATTTTTTTCCTCAGGAATAAAATCAATAATTGCCTTAAAAATACATCATTCCTCCTAAAGTGACAAGTCTTCTTATAAATCATTATTCTGGACTTAAAATCCCTACTGCTTGTTTACTGGACTTTGGAAAAATTTAAGGGTTTCAATTTGGTATAAGCTTCTGGTTGTTTGAGTAGTTTATTGTGTCATCTTCAGTATAATTAATATATATATATATATATATATATATATATATATATATATATATATATACACACACACACACACACTTTTTTATTTAATCTATTTTATCATTTCATTAATCTGCTAGCCACAAGCTTCAATTATATTTGTGTATATTAGAAAGTCATTGACGAAAATTCATTTAAAAAGGATCCTTAATTTGTCAGATATTTATTAGTTTCCTTTTCCTAATTAGTAATCACTTAAAGATTTGGAAATTGTAAAGTGCAATTGAAAATATTAAATGATCTTGTTCTATTTATTTCTAAAATCTTACTGTTCAGCTGTAATTTTGAAATTTTTGTGGCTTGTTTGGATGCATTGTCACTGATTAGGAAATCAATTATTCAAATTAAAGTTTCTATTGCATTTTCTTCTCTAATGAAAATTTAATTTATTTTTTATAAATTAGAATGATTCTTTGATAATCTCTTTGAAGCACTTAACTATTATGCTAACCATATCTCTTACAGAAGAATTAAAGCTTCAGATGTTGAATTGTATTTCAAAAGGTAAGTATGTCTTTATCTTTCTCTAATTCTATAACATAAATTAACATTTACAGTTTAATTCACTTTGATAAAGTCTCCCAGATAATTAATATTTAGGAAGATGATATACAAATAAATATCCATATTCTGGCATCGAATTTGGCCCAGGAATGGCCAACCCATGACAAATGTGCAAGAAGGGCTGAATGGCATGATTAGATGTCGTGCATTATATCCCAGTGATTTTTGCCATTCACCTTCCAGTTGAGTTGTACTTTTTTTTAATATTTGCAATTTTGTACTTTTTTAATTATTTTTATAAATTCAGTTACCCATCATAAAGCAAGGGAAAAGTAGAAAATAACAATAAATGTGAATTCAGAGAGCAATGGAAAAATGAGTTGTTCTTTATTACAAATCCTTCAGGAAAAAACATTGTATGTTGTGAAAATGTTTCTTTACTGAATAAAAGACAATCTTAATGGACACTATAAAAGACAACATTAGACTGAAAAAAAAAAAAAAAACTGAAGATAGTTTTTGAGTCTGGGTTACAAAAAAATATGGAATTAAGAAAAAGGAAGAAACCATGACAAGATATAATTGTTAAAATGTGACAGTGTAATAATTACTAATTGATTTCTTCCTTTTTTTTTAATCACATATTCTGAGCAGATTTTGAAAATTTAAAAATACTATTTATAATTTTCTAGAAGAGGAAAGTGTTCTGAAATGATATAAATGTGAGCAAGCATTTTCAACAATGAAATTTATTAAAAACAAAAGATCTCAACTGACTGATCATAATTTCAAATTTCTCCTACTCTCAGTAACTAATTCAGTATAAAGCATTAAAAGTTTGAAATCAAAATGCTTAAAGGAAATAATGCTTATCTTGTTTTTATATTAAATCAATAAATTATATAGAAAGCTAAATATATTTATATAAATATTCTTACAAGAATGAATGGGAGTAAAAGATTTGTATGGCACATCTGAACTTTTATTCAGAAAATTAACACATGGAATTTGAAAGGTTGGTCATCCCTGAATTAACCTGGAAAAATTTCAAAATTTCAATTAAAATTCCAGATTGTCAGACTAATTATGCAGTAGCCACTAACATTTGTAGTCGTTACTCCATTTTGATATTTTTAGCTTATTTTGTTTATCTTTTTCAATAAGTTACAATAGTTGGGAATCTATGATGCATTAAGCATAAATACTAGTTATTGAGGATGCATGATTATGTTATGTGTAGTGGCTAAGAATGAGAAACTAGAGAGCCAAGTTCAAATTCCAATAAAGTTTGTTACATTCACTTACGCACAAATACCTTTGGGTAAGGTATGAATCCATTTCTTCTCTCTCCTCACCTAACTATGGGTAAATAGCAAGATAGACTGAGTTCTATAGCTTTTGTTTGCAATCACTTTAGGTGAAGGAAAACCCTGAATTCAAACAAGCCTAGAGAGGATTGGGTACTGTCCAGCTATCAGGCCAAGACACAACATTGCTACTACAGCTGCAGTACACGTGGTGCCCTGTGATCAACTGGTTATTGAAATGTATCTTCATACATAAGATGTAGGACATTGATTAAACAAAAAAAAAAAAATGTATATAAATATATATATATATATATATATATATATATATATAAATATATATATATATAAATAAATAAATAAATAAATATATATATATATATATATATATATATATATATATATATATATATATAAAAAAAAAAAATTACTGCTGTTTTAGAAAAAAAAAAAAATAAAAAAACTTTTTGTTTCTGGTGGTCAGGAATTGCAGATAAATCTTTCGCCTTTTACTAAAGATTTCCGTGGCCAAGTGTCAAATTTTTTAACCCCTGGCAGTGACATAATTGAAAATTACCAATGGACTATGTCATATTTTGAACCCGTAGGAATGTTGATTTCCTTCAAAACTCTCAATTTTATGACTGAAATAGTTTGATTATGATTTAGGCTTTCAGATTTTCAAACAAAAAAAATAAAAAAAAGGTTAATTTCCTATTAATGGGGAAAATTTTTGTTTAGAAGTAGAAAAAATGCAAAATTTTCACTATTTTTTCATATTTTACCCCCTGAAAAAAATAATTGAGTCACTTACACCAGCCAATTTTACTTTTAAATGAAAGAATATATTCTTTGCTTTCATAAAATACCTGGTTTCATGGGGTTCAGATCAAAAGTTTCCTTGATATTTGTTCAAGCTGAAGACAAAAGTCATTTTTCAATATTTTACCCCTATAAAAGTATGAAAATCCATTTTTTCAGAGAAAATAAGCTGTGACAAAATGACTTGCCATTTTTGTGATGATTTTTACTTGGGATAGAAATTTTTACCATAGCAAACCTGAATTGACTTTAAGTTTAGTGGGGCTATAAGAAACCTCAAACAGCTGCATGAAATAGCAGTTAAAAATTAATAGCCCAGAATTTCCCACATCTTTTAACACCTAATCAAAAAGCCATACATTGTATACAAGCTAAATTATTTAATTTAAGTACTTGACCAGATAATTGAAAGAAGTTTGCTATGTCTCCTTCAGTTATACAAGTAATGATCTGGATATTTTCTGAAATCATCTCCAGGTCATTTTGAGACACAGAATTAATTACTCTTAACAATTGTTGCTTGTTATTAGTCAGTTCTGACTAGCTTCGAGAAAAATTACTTTTTCAAATATTCTATGGATTTTGTTTTTCCTTCATTTAATTTTCCATTTAAAATATAAGTGTTTTGGAAACTGCCATACTTTGTAAATTTCTTGATAAAAAGAAAAGTTTTAAATGAAAAATTATTGAAATTTTTTATAACTGATACTTCATTAAATATATGTTCTTTCTAATTTATCTGAAATGGAAACTTCAACTTTTCCTTTTGAATAAAATTAGTAGTCTTGAATGGCATCAACTGTGTTAGGCTGAAAGAAAATGATTCTGAACATAAATGTACATTTTTTCTTTCTTTTTTACTCTGAATATACAAAAAAAGTCATTAAGGGGTTTTATAAAATAAAATTCATGACTTGTAAACTCCTATTGCTGAACACAGTTTCAATCAGATAGTCAACTTTGCAACCTACCCACACAAAGTACTCATATGACTTCTTTTCTACTCAATATTCATTTCATACCATCTTCGAAGATTAATTTAAGATTTTGTATTATTTATTAGAATAATTATTGCTACTTTATTTCAAACCACAATTTTGAATTCTCTCTTTTTACTCGTGCACATTGATTACTTTACTTTCACAAGGCTATATTTGTTGATGAAAATTAATTTATTTGCAGTCATATATAAATAAGTGTCAACTCCATCATGGCATAATTCTTCAATGTTTACCAAAAAGTTGATTAATGTTTTTATTATAAAATAGTTAGAAAATACAAGGTTGTTAATAATTATAATTATTAAAAAGGGCAATATCAGGAATTTTAGATGGTTTTCATAATATGCAAATTTAAAATAGTTACTTACAGTTGAAAATCTTTTCCATTTTTTTTAAATATTAAATTGTTAAAAAATGAAATATGTTAAATGCAATTTCTTAAATCAGATAAAAAAAAATTACTAGGTTTGCAAATTGCTAATGATACTAAAAGTAAAAGGTAGTTAAACATGTAAGAAATTTGTACAAAAAGACTACAAAGGTTGGTTATTTCTTTTATTTATTGCAACATTTTATTTCCAGGTAATAAAAATTTAGTCATTAAAATTATTCTCTTCTTTTAAATACTGATCATAAGTATATTCCTTTAATTTTCGTGGTCTTTTCTTTTTCTTTGCCACCATTTCGGAATATTGCTCTATAAATTTCTGATTTGATAACACACTCTCACTTTCCATTTCTGCTTGACTTGATTTTCTTACACCTTGCTGTTTTTCTTTGACTAACTGCATTAAACGAAAGTGGTCCAACTCATAAACATTATTTTCAAACTGATTCACCACATCTAAATCTGAATCTACATGTGGCAGATGCTGTTCCTTGGTGTTTTTATCTGAGAAAGATTTCTCACTCATATCATTCAAATTTTCTTTAATTTTTTTTTCTAATGGCCCACTGACACATTTGGAAAGGATTTGTGGTTGTTGCTTCAGGAGATCTTCCCCAGACAGTCTGTCATATTCAGGTCCCATGTCGGCCATTTTTAACAAGTTGATCACTGTTTGATACTGGACCTCTGATAAATCGGGTACAAATGTTATTGGAGGTAATGTACCAACAACACGTAAGTTTATGAGATGTTGCCTGTAAGATAGTTGTGAGAAAAAAAATTTCTTTTAACTATTATTCATGAAAAGACTGAATATAGATTTGTATTGTTACAAATGAGACCAAAGGTATAATTCAAAACCAATATGAGAATTGTGTGTGTGTATATCTGTGTGTATGCAGGGTTGCTGAATTGAGTTATATGTACTAAATTAGGTTAAATTTGCAAGTCCAATGCTCTTAAACTTTGAATTGACTTTCTTCTCATTAGTAGCCCAGAAAGTTACAATCAGCAAAAAATTTAATAGCATTGGACTCTCAAAAATAGCCTAGTGTGTGTGTATATATGCGTGCTCATGAGTGTAGTGTCTTTGTTTTTAAAAAACAAATTTAAAATTTTTTTGTAATAAAACATGCCACAATTTTAAGGAAAAACATTACCAGTTTTCACTGATTCTGTTAAAGACTTGGAATTTCTGTGGAAAAATGTTAAGGGATTAGATTTAATTGTAAATTTTACCTTATTCTACTGCTGTTCTTCATAAGCATTTGTTGAATGATATCGTCTTTTTCAGTTCCTGTTGCTACCCAGTGGACAACCAATGCACTAAAATCTGGGGATATCTGTACCTGACATAACAGAAAGATAAGTGAAAAGGATGTTGACTGACACATTATAGTAATCCATTTCATCTTACAGGTTAATCTGCAAGTGTAATGTGTCTGATACTCACTGAGTAACTCAATCCAGTGGAAGACTACAGTAGTAATAAAAACTCAGTGAAAAATCAAAGACAAGTAAGAAAAATTACCAAGGGAAAAAAATTACAATGAAGAAAAGCTGATGAAATAATAAATATATGCTTAAAAATTATATAGGATAATCAAAATTCAGCATCTAATTTAAGATTTATAATAATATCAGAGAAGTCTCAACTTTTCATATGGGGTTTTAAGGGAAATAAATCTCCACTTTCTTTATGACCTTGTGATCCTTGAAGCTCTATATTTAGAAAATATTTCTTATCCTTTTAAAATTGCATGTTTAAAGGTGTAGTTTTCAATGTTTTACTTGTATGTTAAAAAAAAGAGAAAAAAAAAGAAAGGCAACTGAGATTATCAAAGTGATTAGATTCAACATCACAAAACTGAAGTAATAAAAGGAATAATTTCCAAGTAAACAGCACTTACTCCTGTTATAAATCTCTATGTCAACATTGTAAATATCTATTTTTTTTATGTTATTTTTATTTTAAGCATTTCACTCCACGCAAGGCATTACAAAGAGTGAAGAAAAAAACTGGGTATGGGGGGGATTGAGGAAAGGATAAAGAGAAAAATGGGGATCAAGGCATCAGAAGATGACGATTAACATTACATTTAAATTTTTGAAGATTGTAGTTATTGGGGAAGCAAGTAAGAAGAATAGAGTTCCACTGTCAGGAAGTGTGAGAGAAGATGATGTTGGAGTAGAAGAGGTGGTCACATTTAACTGTTTAAACAGTAAAAGGGTGAGACCTAGATGCCAATCTAGTAGCATGCTTAAATTTATGCAGTTGAGGCACCAGGGAAAATAACTAGTCAGAACAGTTGCTATGAAAATATTTGTAGAAAATACAGGGCAGTTTCATTTTGGAGGCATTAAAATTTACAAGCCATTCCCTGCTCCAATCAACCACTGATTGGAGGTCCTTTTTGAGACCAATGGCCAGGTTAACTTTGTCAGCATTGTTGGATTTACTATTGAGACAGGAGTAAATGGTAGTGTTGTCAGCATAGATTCCTACTTGAGAACTGATGACATCAGGAAGATCATTGACAGAGATCAGAAACAGTGTTTGACCCAGGATAGTCATGGGAAACACTGACGTTCATATGAAAGGAACTGGAAGAGAGTTTGTTCCAGACAATCTTCGTTTCTCAATTTGATGGGAACGATTGGGTTAAAGCATAATTGTCCTTGAATACCATAACCCTGAAGCTTACATAGAAGGCCAGCATGCCAAACCCTATCAAATGCCTTAGAGATTTCTAGAGCCACAGCTCAAGCTTTGCCATTATTATCAAGAGCTTGGTATACATATTCAGTCATGTCCCTTAAACACATCAGCAGTAGACTGGGCAAAGTGCAAACCATACTGTTTGTCAGAAAGGAGATTATGGGATGTAAGGAGCTTAGTCACTTTGGCATTGAAAGTCTCAAAGACTTTGCCAAAGAGTGGTAGGAGACTGATAGGGCAGAAGTTAGAGGGGTCAGAAGGGTCTCCAGTATTCTTAAAAACAGGGATGACAGAGGAGAGCTTCCAGTAGGCCAGAAAGCAAGAATCAGCAAGGCAATAGTTGTATAGTTTGGAGAGAACTGGAGCCAGCTTGGGAGCACATTTCTTTAGGACTACTGCTGGTATCCCATCACTACCACTTGCCTTATGAGAGTCTAATTTAGAAATGATATTTGAGTCCAACAACAAGATTATGCGCATATCAATCAGTAGAGCCTCAGTTCTAGTGGGGAAATCAGGTGTGGGCACTCTGGATGGGTAGAGTGTTGAGTTGGACAAGAATTTCCAAGCAAAGCATTCAGCCTTATCTGCTGTGGATGTCAGGACTTCAAATTGATTGAATAGAAGAGAGATTGAGGATTTGCTGTTCTTCAGCACACTCTTACAGAGCTGCCAATAATCTCTAGAACCAAACTTATGAGATGCAATACGTTGTTTCATTCTATCAGCAAACAGCAACTTTTCTTCATTGAGTACACACTTGCACTCATTATGAATAGAGACAAAAATGTCTTTTGTAATCAAACATGTCACTTCAGTACAGACAGAAGAAAACTGATTCCTGTGGGCTATAGCATCTGAGCAAGCAGGTGAGAACCAAGAAGTTAAATCAACTTGGTATTTCCTCACTGGAATGAAAGTATCAATGCCAGCTCTCACCCAGGAGGAGACTTTAGATGCTCATTTTTGAATGGGATGATTAAAAACTATATTCCAAGGGATGTCATGAAGGAAATCACGGAACGAGTCCTCGTCTGCATGTTGATAACAGAAAGATATTCTGTTGGTAGGAGGTTCATGACTGGAGGGGGAGTGGAAGGAGATGTTTACAGACACTACCATGTGATCAGAGTTGCCAAGAGGGCAGAGCTGTGTAGCATGACAAGAGTCAGGGATGGAGGTAAAACAGAGATTGAAAAGAAAGGCCTTACCATCAGGGTTACTAGGAAAATGTGTAGGAAAGTCAACCACTTGCATCAGGGATTGAGTGATTGAAAAGTTCAGGGTTTGGATGCCAGAGATATCACTGACAGCGTGTTTAAACCTCCTGGTATGGTGGGCATTGAATTCACCGAACACAAATATGTTTGTAAACAGGTGTAGAGAGATGGTCTTGTCTATATTATCGGAAATACTATCAAGCACACTACAATCTTGAGATGAAGGGGAACAGTATGGAAAGAAGATATAGCTTACTGAATTGAGCAGAGATCGACAGAGACATATATACAAATGGTCTGGAGATTCAAAAGTGAGTTCCCTAGCCAGTAGGGGATGATTATGAACTCCCAGGCCATACATGTGGACTTTAGAGACCTTTCTAAGGAGAGGAAGAAACCAGGAATCAAGAAATCAGAGGAGGGGATTGAAGAGTTAAGGTTAGTCTCACAGAGAGCTAGTATATCAAGAGACTTTTCAAAGAGGAACAATTCCACACTGCAGAAGTTGGTACAAATACCATGGATGTTGGAGAAGAAAGGTTAAGGGGTTTAGGTGATTTTTGTTGAACCGGTTTAGGTTTATATTTTTGGTTGTTTATGGTCATGAGTTATATTGATAAGGAAAAGGTCTAGTGTAATAGCAGCAATCGGTCATCAAATGTAACATGGGCAGAAAGGAAATGGCGCAGACTGCAACATAATGTGGCTTCAGGGTTGCCCACCAGTGATGCATGCAGGGAGACCGGTCCATGCACGACATGGCACTGCAAGTACCCCAATATTGTGTGACTGTTGATCAGCGCAGTCTCTCAAGATGCAACACAAGAGTTCAAACTCCTAACTACCAGTCAGGAACAACAACCAGAAAACTGCCAACCCAGTATGAAGAGACATTGCCACAAACCACCCACATCACAGGAGATTCATGACAGAAAAAGTAAATGATCTGGGAACACCTTCCTAAACAGGAAGTAAAGGATGAACCTCTACTCCTGTTCAATAGAAGAGGGAGTATTGACTGAGTGATAGCAAGACCTAGCTACTCCTATTAAAAAAATAAATAAAACAACAGTAAAAACAAACAATAATCAAACAGAAGGTTAGAATCATTCTGGTTGATTTGTACTAAGATTCTTGATGAATTGTGATGGTTAACTGCAGTGTTAGATACTTGTGGCTGTGTGTTGGAGATTCCTTCAGCTTGGAGAGAGAAAGAGAGACAGAGCTCTCTTGCAGTGAAAAATTCTGTGGTGTGAACTGACTAAGCAACTGCAGGCTCTGAATCATATTTGTCTGGGGGAATGACATTGATGTTATCTTCTCACAAAGACCTTCCTGTTAGGAATACATATGTCCATGTCAAGAAGTACCTTTGATCAGATATAGTCCTTCCAAATCTACCTCTGGTCAGATTCTGAGTTTAAGCATTTTGGCAAGCATCAATTTAAATTTTGTAGAATAGCCCTTTACGTAAATAATTCCCAGGCTGAGCAGGATTCTCAGAATTTTGGTAAACACATTAATCTTGTTATCATGACTGGGGGGTTGTGAAGCAGGGTAGGGGAAATTCAGTGGTACTGAATTTGCTAAATCTTACTAGGTTTATTTTGGGTTCAAATCCTACTGATGACATCCTCATAAACATTATATAGGTTTTGGTTAATATTTTAAAACCAAACCTTTTTCCATCAGTTTCCAAATCTGGTCAAATAATCTTTCATATTTTTTCCTCTTAGTATTTTTACTCTTTCACTTAGAATTCTTAATTCTCTCAGTACCTCAAGTCACTAAATATCATTTAATGCATTATTATGACTCCAGGTTGACTCCCATATTATAAATTAAAAAAGGTTTTCATAGTTATTTCTTTATAATATGGTAAATAAATATTGCATAAATCCAGTTTCATGTTTGAGTTTTATTAAAATTCTAAAGAAAGTGATGCAGTGTTTGGTGGAATTGTAAGAGCATTGTGTATTATGAACTTCTTCTGTAAAAGCAGACAGTGAATTCAGACAAGTATTATTCTCAATTGGACCAATTAAAGGCAGTAATTGATGAAAAGCATCCAGAATTAGCCAACTGGAAGGCTGTTGCCTTCCATCAGGACAATGCCAGACCTCACATCAGTTTGCAGATCTGGTAAAAATGGGTACAGTTTGGCTGAGGTGTCCTACTACACCCACTGCACTCACCTGACCCTGCTCCTTTAGATTACCACTTATTTTGATCTCAATAAAATTCTTTTAATGGAAAGAACTTCAATTCTTTGGAAGCCTGTAAAAACCACTTAGACCAGTTCATCATCCAGAAAGATTCCAAGTTTTGACAGGATGGAATCATGGCAAAAAGTAATGGAACAAAATGGCATATATGTAGTGGAATAAATCTATGCACAAATATCTAAATCTTATCTTTGAAATTCATGTAAAAATGCTTTGGATATTTGGTCTGACCCAATATTTTTATGATTAAATTCCTAAAACTTTGAATGTGTGTGTGTGTGTGTGTGTGTCTTTGCTTCAAAACTAAAGCAGAGAGCTTTAGTTTACTGCTCAGATAAAATTTGGTGAGCTTTTTATCATCTAGCTTTCTTTTTAGAAAAATATTTTCAACTCTTTATTTTTAAAGGATTACTTGAGAAAAACTGATTTTTCACCGATTATTTTGAGAAAAAAAAAAGATTGTTCTTCCTTTATTATAACACAAAGTGCACACATAACTAACATGTAGAAATAACACAAAGTGTTGATGAAAATTTCTTATCCCAACTGAAAAGCTTTGCTCAAAATATATTCTGATATTTCATCAGCTGAGAACTTTTCAGCACCATCTAATAAAGCATACAAATTTCTTTTGATTAAAACTAACAAAAAACATATATAGAAAATAAGAGATTAAAAAAAAAAAGAAAAGACTTACCTTAGAAATTTCTATAGATTCTTCTATTTGGGAAAAGTCATCATCTCCATATTGAATAAGGTCAGATATATAACTGAAGAGAACTTTGCTAACTTGTTCTGCTCGTCGCATTTTACATGGATTGCTTTGACATTTGCTTTTATTTTTTGTGGCAGCAGTTGAGGGAGTATTGTAAGTCTTCATGAAATAAGAGTTAAAAAAATAAGTTTAGAATAAAACAGAAAATCTTCAAATTATAATTTTTGTAAGCCTCTAGACTGACACTTTTCATGATTATTATTGTGATAATGGTATTTCATTTAGCCATTTTTTTTTCATCAATTTTGCTTAAACATGCATTCATATTTTTTTTAATAATGACCATATAATAGGTTTGAATTTCAAAGTAAAATTGAAAATCAAGAATAACTTATAGTCAGATAATTTTTTAATCTTTGAAAGTGAGTTCTGTATTCTGAAGATTCTAGATGCAAATCCAACAAGTCATTAACTCTAAATATTATATATATAAAAAACAAACAAATCACAAATGATATGGAAAAAAATACTTAAAATCAAGAGATATTGCTATCTTATTTAGAGAGTGGGAAAAGACAGAGATTGTTGACCTATTTTGATATACTGACCTCAGTATGTCATTTGAGGATGGTGGAATGGCTTAAAGTGTATTTAGTTCAGTGTAAATTGGAAGCAATTCTGCCTGGTTCTGTCAACAGACAAAATTTCAATGCTGATATATTTCATTCAACAAATTATTTGTAAATAGTATTAAAAGAGAACATTTTTAAAGATTTTGAAATTAGCAAAAAAAACTTTCATAAGCTTTATATATAATTAACCAAGAAATTTGAATTAAATGATTATTAATTATATTCAGAGAAACATCTTTATAAAGGTTATATACCTAGAGTCCTGAACTTTTATATATCCTAGATGTATTTATCAATATTTATTTATTTTGGTTTTAACCCTGAATATTTTTTTCCATTTCATCTGTGATTTGTCTGCAGGTCTTGAAGATTGAAAGCTTACTTTTTTAGAGCTTTCATGAAATAAAAATTATTACCTATGGGATTTTAAGTGTTTGATATTTTTTAATTAATAATAATTTTGCTCTGTCTTCTGGAAATTCCATACAGATTATGATATTGTATCATTTATATATATATATATATATATATGGATTAAGAGTTAATAACTGATTATTCTAATTAAATCAGAATTTAATTTTTTTCTTGTTTTATAATAAAAAAGAAGTGCTTACCATTGGAGTGAAATAAAATTTTTTCCTGTAAATAAAATAGCAATAATTAGAAAGAAAATAATTTATGCAAATGAAAGACATTAATCACCTATCAGCATATTATTCCAAAACAGGAAATTTTTTAAAAGAAAAATGAAATTTAAAGTTTTCAAATTAGAATTTATGTCATATTTGTGATTTGTCCAAAGAGTATCATTTTAAAACTGTAAAAAAACAAGTTGAGTAACCCTGTTGTAACTTAGCAATCAATGAGACCTTCACATGAGTGAACATACATGTTTCTGTGGTGGACGGGTTACTCAGTCAACAGTGAGACATGATTGAATGAGATTGTGTACTATGTGTTCACTGTACTCATCATGACATTGAGTCAGGTTTTGTGAATTTTGGCAAAACATCACACCAGTCAGGTATGTCAGCACCAATAGAATACAAATCTTGTTGTCTGTAACTTCTAGCTTGTCTAAAAGCTAAAATCATCATTGAAAGAGAGACTTCAGATCATGGACAAGATTAAAGAGAACATGTACAAGATTAATGAGGCAACTGATAGCAATCCTGAAAGAAAACTTTGTTAGTTTTTTTTTCAAAAAGGAAGGGATGCTGATATGTGTAAGATCCAAAGGTACTTATTTTGAAAGGACTAATTAAATTCATTGTCAAGCAAGGTAGGTGTTTATTGTGTAAGATAAATGCTTTTTTATCATTAAGCTGCAGACACTGGTTTACTTATGTAAACTGCAGAGCATAAGTGAAATAAAAATAATTATAAACATGTTTAAGAATCTCTGTCTGGATTTTTGGGACGAGTTACCATTACTTACATTATTTACGCAAGGATTATTGAGTACAAGGATGAGGATATTAGTCCACCAAATATAAATAATGTAAATGATCATTTATTGCTTATTTTCTCACAAACAGATTATTTTTTACATTTTTTTTGGTAAGAATTTGATAAAGAAAATAAAGAAAATTCTTCAAACAAGAAATGCAAAGTGGAAAATAATTTATTTCTAGAAAATAATCAATTCTTTTGTCCTCTGTAAATATTTTTAAACTAGAGAAAAAATGATTCAGATTAATCAATTACTTGGAGTTTTTTTTTTTTTTTGGGTAAGTATAGTTTTATTTATAACAAAAACAAATTAAATAATACAACAGAACCTTTTTCCCGTTTTGAATAGCAAAAAAAAAAAAAAAAAAAATTACATTTCTTTACGGTAGTGCGTAGTATTTTCTACAAGGAAAGTCTGTAAAAGAAGTAAATAGGCCAATTTTTCTGATTACGCCTGCGTAGGTACTACGCAATGAATTAGTAATCATGATGGCAGTAATGGGGGACGAATGACCAACAAGAAATCCGATTTTTTCTTGTCGATAACTCCAAAATTATGATGGTTTCTTCATAATTTAATTGTTAATTCGAGTTCAGCATGTACTTTTGCACGGATGACGATTTGGGAAAAATTTTAAGGGATATTAGCGCTTGGGAAACAAAACCAAAATTTACAATTTTATTTATTTTTCTTTTTGAAGTTCTTAATGCCCCTAACATTGAATCCACAAAGTTGACTGCATGGCTGACGAGAAACGATTTCATGAAATGCGAATACAACACTAACAGCAATGTTGCAATAAACTCCCCCACTGGATGGAATGCACCTAGACAAGTCAGTTATGCTCATGGGGTTATATAAAAAAATAAAGCAGCTGATATACCAATCCAATAGAGAGATATTGGAAACATTGTGTGAGTGATAACGTTAGAGATCTTACTTATTATAAAACGCAGGTTGTGTGTGTGTGTGTGTGTGTGTGTGTGTGTCTGTAACGTTTATATGTTGGATCGAATTTCCTACATTTTTTAGCCGATTTCAACAAAACTTCACAGGACTACATAAAATTACCTTTTGGTGGTTCTAACGGTGCTGAAAATGGGAAAAACACAGTTGTTTTTTAAGAAAATCAATTTGAAAACACAATTAAGACACATCGTGAGAATGAAAGGGGGACAACTCACCCACGAAAATGTAAACAAAAGAGCATAGCGTGATGAAAAAGATGCCGAACTTGACGAAAACAAAATTTTATCATCTAATGTTCATATTATTATTAAAGAGGAAAGATCAAAGTAATTTTGGAGTATTTTTTTTAATCGTTCCTAGCACGTCTGAAATTTTCGTTAAAAATATTGTTTCTTTTGGTAAAAAAAAAGGACAGATAATCAATCATTTTTAATCATTTTTTTTTTTTCGATTTGATAAAAAGATTAAAATCTTACTTTGATATTCTTTTTTAAAATCAATTATTTTTTTCAAAACTGATTTTAATAAAAACAGATATTATACTGTTTATTTAAAATATTTTGAACTAAGCTTAACTTAGCTTCTGCGCCGAAAAAAAATGTAATTTGAAAATAAAACAAAGCAGGTCATAACCTTTCGCATGTAAACTTGACGATTGACGAAAAGGCACATTCATGACGTTTAGATAACTTACGGGAAGAGAATTCTTTCTACGGATGGAAGGAAGTGAAATTATTTAAGTGAACAAATTATTTACCGCATTACTTTTAAGGAAAACTTTCAGCGCTCTAATTTTTTATTTTTATTTTTTTGTACTTAGCTTTCATTTTTACGTTTACAATGCTTTATGGAAAATATAAAGAAATTAAAAAATAAGACTGTTAAGAGTGAGATTAAATTTCATAAGAAAAAGGTATCTAATTAATTTAGGTACCTTTCTTATGAAATTTTATCAGAAAATGTACATAAAATACTATAATTTTATGTACATTTATTACATTTTACTGTGTTATTTGTATTTCCATTCATTTTATTATTAATTTTGATATTTCATTTATGGAAAAATGTCATAACTGAGATTAATATAAAAATAAGATCATATAAATTAAAGTTTAGCAGTAGTTAAATTTCATAAGATGATAGTGTTACTTGTAGGTACCCTTCTCAGTTGAAATTGAAAACTCAAATTAACTTCTCCATACGTGTTTCGCAAAAAGTAAAGGCCTTAACAGCGGAGAACAATGCTGAACTCAAATAATGCAACTAAATTGTATTCTGGTTGGTCTTCCGTACTTGATAATTACTGTCCAACTATAAACACAAAATTACATTTCTTAATTACCATGGCTAATCTGATTGGTCCAAATTATACAATTTTCAAAGCGCTAGACAATGACAATCTCACATGGACATTTTGAAAGGTTGATGTTGCATTTAACTAATGTTAAAATATTTTTTTTAAATTCAATTTAAACATTTTTTAAAAGTCTTTTTAAAATTAAAGAAATAAGAAATAATTGTATTAAAAATTCAATTTTCATTGAAAAACTTTTTGCTTTCAGAAAATATTGTCCATATTCATAAAAACAAATTAAAACAAATAAAAGCATTTGAAACTAAATAATATATTTGTTTTATTGAGTTTTGTATGTTACAATTCACAGCTGATTTTCAGGTACGTTGGCCAAAAAAAAAACATGATTTGCATTCTTCAAAGCCTTGTGCTTTTAACTATTGTAATCACTAAAACCGATGGTCTCGAATTTCTAGAGTTTTTCATAAAATTAGTTATGGGGGTGTTAATAAATATAAAAAAAATATTTCTGCCATGACTTTAATAAAAAAAAAAAAAACATATTTATAATAATTTCGATCATCTGTGAATAGTTTCTGAAAGTTTCATTAACATCTGACAATTATTTTTATTTTTGCAAGATTTTCCAAATTAATGTGTGTAAATACAAAAAAAAAACGCGCTAAAAATTATCTATGTTATTTACTACCCCTTGTTGCGACAAAGAGAAACAAGGTTTTTTAAATCAAAATTTAGAATATTCTAAAAAGATGGAAAAATTTTAAAAAATAATTAAAAAAATATTTAGTCTATCCTCTTCATAAAAACAAGCATTTTGACGATAAAATTTTGTTTTCATAAACTTTAGCGTCTTTTTCATCAGACTATGCTCTATGTTTTAGCGATTCCGTGGAGTGACTTAGGTTAAAAAACCCAGGTTGTTTGTGCGTGTATGTTCCTTTATATATGGGATCGGATTTCTTACATTTTTCAGCCGATAAAACATCCACTTTTTTTTTGGCAGGTAGTATTTCTTATTGTCTTGCACACTTTTTTCTTTATTTTTACATTCAGAATGCTTTAAAAATTCCATTAATAAGACAATTGTTTATAATAAAATTCTATTCACCAATCTATAGACTCATAACGATTGTAAACAATGTTTTTGTTTGAGTTTTTCGTAAAAAAAAAAAAAAAACTAATTAAGACATGCGTGTCCGTCAACCTTAAACAATAATCTTTGTCAATTTTATTTTTCAGTCTTTATGATGGTCGATATTTGATCTATCTCTTTCATCCCCGGGCAACGCCGGGCTCTACTGCTAGTCTTTAATATTTTATTATTTCTTAATGGCCTGCATCTTTTTTTAACTCAAAGCGAAAGATTGAAGATCAAAAAACAAAAATGCTGTTTAGTTTAATCAATTTTTTTTAGTAAAAATGCAACAAATGTAGCTGAAGCAATCGAAACAGTTAAAGTAAAACTTCGCAAGTTAGTTTTCAATCTGAAGCCAGAAAGCTCAATAGAACACTTTGTGTTGACAAAACAGAAAATAATGAAGTGTTTAAAAAAAGAAAAAGAAAATGCCATTCTCTAGTTATCATTTTTTCCAAAATATTTTTAATTTTAAGTCGTCAAATAATTTCAACTGCTTCTCAAAAATACAAGTAAACTGTAAAAAAAAAAAATAAAAAAAAAGGAAATCATTTTTAGCAACTTCAGATTTTTTTAGATTGGCAGTGGGTCTACATAAAGAGTTACGATAAAATGCAAGTGAAATTAAGATGTAAGAAAGTTTAAGTAAAAAATAGTTTACTAAACATTGTAGTGTAAACTAATAATTTAAAAAAAAAAATGAATAATTGACAACGACATAAAATATTGTTTTTGTTTGACCTACCTGCCTCCTTTATTAAACAATTTATTTAACATTTTTGACTGCTTAAAGCTAGTTCGAGCACAGCTGTTGTGAAATAACTTGATCGTTATATCTTGCAAGCGAAATGTGTTCTTAAAGCATAGGACACGGTAAAAGGCCATGTCGTGCTTCCTCAGCGGAAAAATGACGGCTGATTTGATTTGATTTTTTTTTTTTTTTTTTTTTTTTGCAAGAGAATCGCTTATGTCCTAAATAACAAATTTTCGGATGGGTGTTGATTCGAAAAAACAAACAAAAAACTTTATTTTGGAAATTTAAATGAAATATGAAATCATACATTAATTGATTTATTTTAATTTTTTAAACAGAATCTGTATTCTATTGCTATAACCTTCAATTGAAATTTTATTTAAGTACACTGATTTTTATAAGTTATTAATTTTAAATAAATAACTAAAATCAAATTATTTTATAAATAGGCTAATGAATGACAATGCTTAATGTGTAGTAAAATCAAACTTTAAAAGTCACTGAATTGCTTTTTTTTTAGACTGCCATTAAATACTGCAGCTTCATTCTGTTTAAAAATTGTATTAATTATCTGTTAATGTTTCTTTGTTTATCGTATTTACCTTGTACAATTATAAAATTGATTGTAAAATAAAGAATTTCTATTTATAATTTATTTATCTAGCAGAATGTGTTAAGGGACCCTAAAATATTTATTCCAACTCTAGTTATCTCCCCTACTTAAGACACTTTTTTTTTTTTTTTAGTGTTGAGGCTGTAATCATGTCAAGTCGGGCATTACGTCGGCTACAAAAAGATATAATTCCTTTACCTGGAGATAATAGTGATATCAAAGATAACGATGTTGCTGAGGATGATACATTTATGCAATCAGCACTTCACAATAAGAAAAAGATCTTTGCTGCTAATCCTTTCGATTTGGTTCGTTAGTTATTTGCTACATTCGTTTTTTTTTTTTTATATCAAGATGTGAGAGTTTTAGATTGCCCTAACTTGTTTATTTTTTAAGATAAATGGCAAAATAGGTATGACATATGTTTCAATTTAAAAAAAATGTAAATTAATAATTTCTTTTGTTTGTTCCTTTAAGATTTTTTTTCCTTACCTTTATTTTCGCATAAAATTATAGACGTCAAAACAAAACTTTTATTTTGAAAATTAATATTTTATTTTTGGGTCATCTGTTTTTTGTTTTTGTGGCGTATTATTAACTAAAACTAAATAAATGGAGTGAATTACGTAGTTTGAGTTTCACAAAGATGATACCTTTATCAGATCATCTATCTTTTTCTAAATTTTAAATGCTTAGCTTACTTTACCATTTATACTTTTTAGATTTATTCTTAAGGAGATAAAATAATTTTTTTGGCATTTTGATAAACTTTTGTTTTGGTAAAGTTCTTCCACACCCAGTCAGTTCAAAAAAATTGTTCTTTTTTTAAAAGAATTTTTAGATGGAGATTTAAACATTTTTAATGTTGAATATCGCAGTTATTTTTTTTTTCATTTTTCTGTTTTTGATCATTGAAAATCTTAAATAACAGCGTGTTCCTTAAATTAACAAATTTAATTTGTAAAACTCTTTCTCTCTCTTTTTTTTTTTTTTTTTTAAGCCAAGTATAGGAACTGTCTAGCCCAGTTTCAAAATTAACTGTAAAAAATGTTATTGTCAAGTTAATTGTTAAGTAACTGCTAAAAAAAGTTGTCTTAAAAAAGAGTTGACACGCCAACTGGCTTCTTGCCACATTACTACTAGTTAATTGTCTCATTTTCATTTTCGTGCTCACTTTCCAGAGGTTTCAACTCGTTTTTAAGGTTTCCATCCGGCGTGATTTGGATTTGACTCCTTTGTTTCATTGTACAGTGCTTCCGTATTTTTTTTTTTTTTTGTCATTCAGCTATAACAGCACTTTTCATAATCGGTATGATACATGTTCGTGATTATGTGAAAAATAATTCTTGTAGAAGAAATATTTACACACAAATTGACAAATATGATTATTGAATAATCATTTGTCAAGTTTCACATGTTGCAAGCAGTAATGCTTCGGCTCAATTTTATTTTTAAAACTTTGATATAATTAAATTTATTTTCTTAGCTTTTTTCCGAGAATGTAAAAAAGTTTATAATTTTCTGCTCCGGGGAAAGAGTGATTGATGGAGTAGAAAAAGCATAGAAAGAATACAGGTCTGGTAGCTAGTAACATCGAGAGCCCAAATATGGCTAAATTAGTCATTTAATATTTTCTTGGTGTAAGAATGCTTATTTGTGTATATTAATAACTGTAATAAGGTCTCCTTAAATTGTTTTTTAGTTGGAGAATAGCAATCCGGATGAAGAAATAAATGGATGCAATGATGAGTGCACTGATCAGACTCCTCCAGTTTCCAATAATGAGGAAGAAGAGAAACCGCAAAGAAAGAAAGTATCTCTCCAGAAAAAGAAGAAAAAGAAGAAACCTAAAAATCTCAGGCTAATAAAAGAAAACAAAAGTGATTACACAGAAACTATGGTTAGTTATTTTTTTGTTAGTTTTATACAGAATGAACATGTCATTTTTGTTCTCTTTTTACCTTTTGCTTTTCCTTGCTGATTTGAAATTTGTCTCCAGTAAGTCGGTCTTTAGATCTTTACAATGATTTCATATGTTGATTTGAAGGCAGTCAGTCTGTCACCTGTATATGCGGGATTGGTACTCCTTAATTTTTCTGCCTGCATGCATTGCTTAATAAGGCTGAAAATGAGGTTGAATTTAATTTTCACAAACTTTAACATTTAAAACAAGGTTAACAACAACAACAATCCCATTACTGATTATGGTCATAGGGTTGCTGATCATTCATTCATGACTAGCATATCTTTGGCAAGTAGACCTATTTGGTAGAATCCATCCCTCTCCAAATCAATCTACAATGGCCTCCAACTTGAAGGCTCACCTTGGTCATGGATATATAATCATTGATTCCATCGGAGGATTACTCTGCCAGTTGACTTCAGTCTAGGAAAACCCCAGTGATTTTTTTTTTTTTTTTTTTTTTTTTCAGGCACAAAAGTTAGAGATTGCCGGGAAATGTGTTACTTGTCTATACTTATAAGACCAGTGTTGGAGGAATTTCAACACCTTAATGAGAAAAACTAAAATTTTAGTCTTTAAGTGTGTGTGTGTGGGGGGGGTAAATTAACTCTTGTTAAAAGGAACTAAGCGAGACTTGTAGGAAAGAAGTTTTGCTCTTTAACACCTTTTTATTCTGCCATAAACAGTCCCATATGATTATTTTGACCTTTTTGTAGTTTCACTATTACTTCCATGGCAATTAAATCTACATTTATTTTCTTGCTGTCTTCACAAACATGCCATTGCTGATTAAGTGCAACAAAACTTCATCCTGAACATAAAATTAAGTGATTTTGGTTAAAGATTACTGAACATGACATATATACCTAAGGAAGGGAAAAGAAGACATCAACTGAAATATAGTGATCAAAACAATAAGGATACTATTCATAATTCATAGAATATTAACCTACAGCTTATAACATTCACCTCAAATCATGAGATAAATTTTTATGAAGCCTTTTCATTGCCCAAATGGTGAAAATCAAATTAAGAGGATTCCAACTCTTGTATCACTGACTTTTGGCTGGTGGGTAATGATAGCCAGATATAATTTTTACCACGTGAGTAAGCTTTCTCTTGATTTAATTTGAAATTATTTTTCTTTTCAGATTATTTATTTTAGAAAAGAAGAAAATATTCTCTGTTATGAAGTTGATATACACAAAATAGTAGTAGTCGTCACAAGTGACACTCTCCACAGTCTCAAGTTCTGCCTATATATAGTGGTATGGTTATGCTAATTATTATTAGCCTAACCTATCCCACTACACCTCCTGGAACCTTTTAGATTTAACTCCCTGAATTGACCTATTGCTTCTCCTACATACCCTCCTACTTTCACTGGTTTCAAGATGATTTCTCCTTATAGGAGATCTCGACCTACTTCTTTCTTCTTCAATATCCACTGTTTTGTTCTCTGATTCCTCAGAAAACCCTTGAACACTCATTGTCTCTTCTGATCTATTATCTTGTTCTTCTCTATCCTCATTTAACTCCTCAGTATCTTCATGGTTTTGGCACAATCTCAGTTGGTCAGCATGCACCAATAGACCTCTCCCATTCTTGGAAACCAACACTTTATTCTGTCCTTTCTGCATTACAAATCTTACTTTTTCTGGCCTCTCTTCTGTTTCTCTTGTACCATATCTTCTCATTCATTGACTATGACATTGTTAATGGTGCTCTAATTTGTCTTTCCATTAACACTGATGGACTTTGTAATTTTCCAGCATGAGGTATTGTCTGATAACTTAATAACAATCTTGGTAGAAAATTTTCGTTTCTTTCATGCTGTGGGGAGATTTTTATGGTTTGCATCATTCGCTTTGCTATTCCATTTGATTGCAGATGATAAGGGGGGTTTATGCGGTATGCATCTCTTGTTTCTTAACCATGAACACAAGTTTTCATCGCAAAACTCTGGAGCATTATCTGTTACCAATGTCCTTGGTACGCCATTCCTGGCAAAGACTATTTGTAAAATTTGTTGTACTGTATGTGATTTTCTATTTTGGACTTTAGGCCATGCTGAAAACGCATCCACCAATATTGGACACAATCCTATACCATTCACATGTGCATGGTCCATGTAAACCCAGGACCAGGATTCAGTTTCCTTTGGCCACGAATGGGTTTTGTTCTGTAGAAAAATTTATCTACGCACATATAGAACATTTATTTATGTACATCTCCATGTCACGAGTGTGACCAGTCCACCAGGCTTCCAATTTTACACATTTTTGTGTAGTAACTATTCTGCAATGCACATCGTCATGCACACTTTTGATTACCTGTCTTCTACAACTTTCTGGTGGTACCACCAGATCTCCATTGCAAATTATGCTATTCTCTATTGTCAATTTATGTCTGATCGCTTTGTACAGTCTTTCTGCTTTAGAACAATTACACCATTTGTTGTTCCTTATTCTCTCTATGATCCTATTCAATACTGGATCTTGTAGAATCTCCATCATGAGTCTATTAATGGGCAATACATCGGTCACCACCCAATGTAAAATTCCATCTTTCACTTTCTCATTTTTCTCTTGTTGTCTTTTCTCAAACTGTAGTCGTGATAGTGCATCTACGTGTGGGATCATGTTTCCTTTCACATGTTCTATTTCATAGTCAAAGGCCATCAACTTCATTGCCCATCTTAGTATCCTTGAAGATGTGACCTTCGGCAATTCTTTTCTGGGATGATCCGATCTGAGCAAAAACTTTTTCCCTAACAAAAATTCTCTTGCTCCATACTATAGCCAACACTTCCTTTTCAATATTTGAATGTTCTTTTTGGCTGGCATTAACTTCTTGGAAAGATACATCACTGGGTATCCTTCCTGTGACAAAATTGTTGATACAGACAGTCCACTCGCATCTGTTGTTAAGGTGACTTCTTTTTTAGGGTCAAAAATCTTGACAACCGGTTTCTTGGATAATGCTAACTTCAATTTAACAAAGGCTTTTTGGTGAATATTAGTCCACTGAAACTCCTTATTTTTCTTTCGTAAATCAGCAAAAGGCTCAATTCTTTTGGAATATTTTGATAAGAACTTGCTATAGAAATTAGCTAATTCAAGAAATGATTCCAACTCTTTCTTATTACTTGGAGGCGAAACATTCAATATTTTCTGTATCAACCTGGAGTCCAGTGAAGTACCCTCCTCCAAGATTTGATAACCCCAAAATGTTAATTTTTTGCACTTGAATATACATTTATCCTCATTTAAAGTCATTCCTGCATCTCTAAGTATACTCATTACTGTTTTAGTTTTAATTCTTCTTCAGTACAGGTACCTAGCCCAATATCATCCTGGTAGTATATTATATTTTTTACTTTTCCTTCTAGTAGATTACCCATGGCTCTCTGAAAAATCGAACTGGCTGTCTTAACTCCAAATGGTAAGCGAGTCCACCTCAATAAGCCTATGGACGAGTTTATTGTAATTTCTTTGAATTCGTCGTCTATTTGGATTTGGTTGTATGCATTTTTTAAAATCATTTTAGCAAAATATTTCATTCCTGCAAAGGAATGCAATATGTTTTCTACATTTGGAATAGGATATGAATGTGAACAAATTTTATGATTCACATCTACCTTGTAATCACCACAGACCCTAAAATCACCATTAGGTTTCCTTATGATGGCAATAGGGAATGCCCATTTACTGTATCCTGGTCCTTCTACCATTTTGTTCAGCTTAGTCGTCATCAGTTTTATATGTATGGGACGCCTACGACTTTGAAAATATGATGGTGTAAACGTTTCTTTTTAGCTTAATGCTTACTTTATAATTTTTTAATGTTCCCATTTCTAATATTGACAGCATTCAGTAATTGTGCACTATCAACATTCACTAAGTCAGTACCTATTAGGCCATGACTTTTTATACAATCCACTACTATGATGGTGATTGTTTCGAATCTCTTCGCTGTTTCAAATGTCCCTTGAAAAGAACCTAACATTTTGATACAGGTTCCATCAAATTGTTTTTCCCAAAAATTTCTAGGAATGAGAGTTACCTTGCTTCCTGTGTTGACTTGCATCTTTAAATTTGTGCCATTCAACTTTATACTCTTGAACATATTCCTTTTGTTTTTCTTTTCTATTGCAAAAACATCCGTTTGATTTTTTTTTTTTTTTTTTTTTTTTTCCTGTCCTGCACTATTTCCACATTTTTTACATTGTTGCTTTGCCATTTACACATGACTTTAAAATGATTTTCCTTTTTTTTTTCTTTTTTTTTTTTTACAATTATCACATATCTTTCCCCATGTGGAACATTTTTCTCTTTTTGGCTCATGTTCATAACTGCAATACTTGCATTATGATTTTGTTTTTTTTTCTTAATGGCACATACTTCCATCATTTCTTGTTGTTTTTTTTATATATATTTTTTAATCAACTCGTCCTACTGCAATAAAATTCAACATACGCTTCCAAAGTCATATTAGATTTCAATCTCTCCAAACCTTTAAGTCTTTGTGTAGTATCATATAATCCTTCCACCTGTCGAAACTGAATCAATTTCATCCAAGTTCATTAGTCGCAATACCTACTAGTATCTCTTAGTCTACTGAGATATTTTTTAATAGGTTCTTCAGATTCTTGACTTAATGCTAGAAATTTGATCCTTTCAGCAATGACCAATCTTTTTTTTGGTTGGATAGTCTTTAAAATTATGCCCTTAATGTCTTTAAAGTTTCAATTTCCTCTGGGTAAGTCATTAAGGACACTTGCTTAATGGCTTTACATCTCATGGTGGCCATAAATAAATCCATGATTTGTTTCTGCTTTTGGTAATCCACTAATTTCTTCATTCTAGCCATAGCCTCAAAACACTTTAAACAGTTAATAACCTTTTCAGGGTTTTCCAAATCCAACATAGTTTCGTTCAGCGATGCCATTTTGTTATGAAGTTGATATACACACAATAGTACTAGTTTTCACAAGTGACACTCCAGTCTATCTCAAGTTCTGCCTATATAGTGGTATGGTTATGCTAATTAGTATTAGCCCAACCAATCACACTACATTCTCCATACAAATATTGTCTAGACAATTGTGAAACACAAAAGGTGAGGTTAGCTCCAGAAATATACCTATAGGTAATTAGTATTTTGTTAATCTTTTGTACTGCTTATTCATGTTAATACTCTGGGAATGATGTAAATAAGCATTGAAATATTAACAAAGTTAACCACACTACTTGTTTACTAATTAAATGTTGATTATTTATAAGGGAGGTTTAGGGTGGCATTTTTATCAGCACAAAAAAAATGGAATCAACAAATGAAATTCAAGTTTTGGTTAAGATTGCTCTTGTTCATTTTGTAGGAATTTTGCATGAATCTACTTCTATCTGTGCTGTGTTCCATCGCAGATATCTTGACTAAATATCATGACAGGTATACCATAGAGAAGAGTGAGTTAGCATCTGGGCAAACCACTCTCCCATTTTAGGCAGTAGGAGCTAAAAGCTGTTAACAATTTAGTCAATTTAGATTGAGGTCCTATGAAATATATAAATATTTTTTTTTAAGTTAGGCAATAATTACAAAGCTAAATAAGCCAATCAATATTATAGTTGACAGAAATTATTTTTCCTCCTCTTTGTAAATTCTTAATAGATTGAAGATGAAATCGATGCCAGTTTACGAGAGGTGAATGCTATTCTTGGAAACATTACCAATGGAATAACTGAATGCACCAAACAGCAGTCTGCTTTGTCAGCCAATTGCCGGTCACTTCTTAATGTAGAGCATCGGTAAGTTTGTTGGTTTTTAGTTTTTTTTTTTTTCCCTGTTGTTCCATCATTACTTTTTATTTTCTTCTTTTTGAATGACAGTGTCTTTTCAGACAGGCATTTCAAATGAGTTGCTGTATAATTTATGCCTTTTGATTGTAAATCTCTTTTTTTCTTGCTTTATTTCATGCTTGGTTTAAACTTTACCTCATCACAGAAATTTAAATCCTGATAATGAAATGAAAAGAATATTTGGATCCAGGGTCATTCAGTCAGAACAACCGTAAGTCTAATATCATCTCTATATTTTATGATGTATAATATCTGTTGTGTTAGGTTTGGGGTTAATGTTTGAAGTTGAGAAGGCATTGTGTGTTGAACAAAAATATAAATGTTAAATAGATTATTTGGGGAAAGTAGAGAAACAGTGGAATAAGATATAGAAAATTTTATTCTATTGAAAACCTTTTGTATAGAATGTGTTCAGGGATGGTTTCTGAAAAAAAGTTTAAATTCTTATGTAAGTTCTTATGATAGTCTCTGTAAAATAAAATAAAGAAATGATTGGTGAGTTAAAAGGTGGGTATGGTGTCTTGTCTAAGCCAATGTAATGTGTATTTTTTGCATGAGATTGACTTTTTCAGTTATTTATTAGATTCTTAGTAGATGAAATTATACTAGTTTTATTTTGAAAATATTAAAACATGTTAAAATTAGAAAAAACTATAGCTTGATCACATCAGATAAAAATACTCATTTTTAATTATTTTTTTTAATACACTTCTACTTGTAAAACTTGCATCTCATTTGGTTCAAGGAGAAAAAAGTTAAAAATATTTAAAATGCCATAATTTAACACAGGAAAAGTTCAATTATGCCAAAGAAAAATATTAATAAAATAAAATTAAATACAATTTTTGATGGAAATTAAATTTTAGGTTTTTTAATACAAACTTTTTTCTGAAAAAGCTTTCTTTCAAGAAATTTCAAATAAGTTTTTTTTTTTTTTTTTTTTTTTTTTATGTAAATAAAGATGAAAATTAATTTTGAAAGGTATAAAATTTTAAGAAATATGCGAAATTCGTAGAAACAAACTTAAGTTTCATAAAAAGATTAACTTTTTTAATCCTCAGTTATTGAAAAAAAGATCTCTATAACTGAGAATTAAAAATGATTTTATGGATTAAAACTTATAAAACAAATTGTTGTAATTTAACTGCCTCACTATGAGGACAATTTTTGAAACGATGTCAACTTTTTTTGTGAAGAAATCAAATATGACACTGGCAGGTATTTGTACATTCATTTTTTTTCTTTTTTTTTTTTATAAATTAAAAATAAATATTGTCTTAAAAGAGAGCTATGTGAATTCATTTTGTATTTATATTACTTAATTTTGATTATAATTAATAATTTGTAATATTAAATGGGTGAATTAACAATGTTTAAAAAGAAATTAAAAATAACAATTTTATTTTGAACTGAAACAATCTTTAAACTAAGTAGAAACTTGGATATTTAATTATTTTTTTTTTTTTTTTTTTTTTTTTTTTTACAAGTAAAATAAATTTACATCTGAAATGTTATGATCTATAGATTTTAGTTTTACTGATAGTTTTAAATCAATACATATTTATATCTTTTTATCATTAGCACTAGGGATGGAAAATTAAGTTTTAAACAAAAAAAATCCAAAGAATCATTTTTGGAATCAGAAATTAGGTTAAAAATTCTCAAATGTCAATTCCAATACCCTAAAAAGTTCCAATATTTCTGATTCTAGATTCCAATTAATCATCCCATCACTAGTATACCTATTCAGAAAGGAGGGGCTGGCAAAATGATGAATTAATACTTTGTTACTAACTGCAGACTTGTGCAGTTGAAGAAATTTAGGTAAAATCTATGCAAGATAAGCTTCTAATCAGAAACTGCTGTCAGATTGTTCAATATGACAGTGACAAAATTGACAAATCTTGAACAAAAATTTTTACTTGAAAGTAAAAATTAGTCTTATTGCAAAATTGTATCTTTTCTATTCACTAAAATGTGTGCTGTTTGATTTATAAAGGCACTATCAAGTTATGTAAAAGTTTTGGTCAATTTGAAAGGTTATCAAATCATTCTTTATAGACAAGTTATTTTTAAGACCATAAAGACTGCAGTTGTCATAGATGTAGGCATTTGTCTGATTACTTTCAATACTAACTTATTATTTTAATATATATATGTGTATATATGTATTTTAATAGGCATAAGAGGGCTAAACGTGGACGTTCAACAACATGGATGGCCACACCTAAAGACACTTGGCCTATGTACTCAAAAACAAGTAAGTGTATAAAAAAAATCCATTTTATTTAAAAAAAATAAACTAATACTTTAATATCTTAAAATATCAAAATATATTGGATTTCCATAGCTTGTCTGCAATACAACTGCAAGCCAGAAAATTATTACAAAGTTAACATTAACAGGCTTGATTATAAATTAAAAAAATATATTTTGTTGCTCTATACACATTTCACTAACAATAGTAAATTGTCATACCTACCCATAGTTCAATATGTTAGTAATTAGTTCCTTAATGCAATAAAGTTGTTTGTTTTTTTGTTTTTTTTTGTTTTTGTCTTTTTACTGACATATCATTTGTACTCGCTACTAGAGAAGTCTTACTAATGTTCAACATGCGTGTAAGTTGTGCTATTTGTCTGAAATACATAATTATGCATTTGTTTGCTTCTTGTAGTTGGTCATAAATAAAATTTCTAAATATTTTCTTACTACTTAAAGTGGAGGTAAAAATGTCTTCATAAAAATCATTTGTTCATTATAAGACTTGTATTTTCTAAATCTTAGCAAGAGCTATTTCATTTAGATGGATTGGTTTTGTGTCAAAATGTCTATTTTCATATTTTTCTACTTATTTTTTCATATCTTTGTAAATTTGACTATTCTGTTTGTTATACATGGTGTTTCAAAGATCTGTCACATTCTAAGAACTCTTATCATGAAATACAGATGGTAGCATGATTGAACTGGTACCATTTAAAAGTGTCAAGTTTTCTGTTAATTTAATTTTAAGAGGTTGGAAGAAGACGGATTTGATGACCAGCTTGTTTTTAGCAATGAGGCAAGCTTCCATGTAATTGGCAATGTTAATAAGCATAGCATACACGTAAGGGAAACTGAGGACTCTAATGTAACTCTTAAGCATGTGCAAGATTCCCTTAAGGTAAATAATGTTCTGTGCCATGTCAAAGAAACGTGTATATGGACTATCCTTCTTTGTAAAAGGAACAGTCAATGGTGACGCATACCTTGCCATGCTGCAAAACTGGTTGATGGAAAAATTGCATGAGAATGCAAACCTCACTGGAGTCTTAAAGTTAGACAGTATCTGAACACCACTTTGCCTAACAAATGGGTTAGATATTGTAGACAGACTGATCACATGTTCCTGCAATGGCCACCCAGGTCTCCAGACCTCACGCCATGTGATTTCTTCTTCTGGGGGTATGTGAAAGGCCTCATGTACGTACCTCCCCCTTCCTAGAGATGTGGATGATCTGAAGATTCAAGTAACTGAAGCCTTGGCAACCATCAACAATATACTTGGTTGTGTTTAGCAAGAATTGGATTATTGTTTGGATGTGTGTTGTGTAACCCACTGCACTCACATTGAACACCTGTAAAAACCTGTATAGAAACATGGAAATGTAAATTGTGATTTGATATTCTCAATAGTTATTAAGATATACAGTATTGTACACAAACTTTTGAAACACTCTATATATTTCTGATACTTACCTTAACCTATATAGTTGATAACACTCAAAAATCTCTCTATATTACAATTGTTTTATGTATTTGTAGGTTTAACAATGTCCGTCTTGGAAACTGCCCCTGATGGTAATTGGCAGATGTTTACCTTTGAACATGGGCCTCCTTACCAACAATTACAATTAGCCTTCTATGATGCTGTCATGTCAGTGAATTCTGAAAATATTGTAGTAAGTCTACATTTTTGTTGCTTTTTTTTTTTTTTTTTTTTTTTTTAAACATTCATTAGTTTTTATTTTACAATCTATTAACAGTTTAAAAAAATAATTTTTCCTTAATGTTTATTTAGAAAGTGAATTGAACCAAGTTAAATAACTGGTAAAATTTTATAATTTATTCAAGTTACTTTAAAAGTACAAAATTAACTAAAAAAAAAAATTGTATCTGTAAATAAGTCATGGTTGTATTTATAGCAGAAATATTTAAGCTATAACAAATGTGAAGTATAGTCAGCTATTGTGAAGAAGTTTTCCATGTGGACTTTTGCCATTTCATTGAAACATGAATCTAAACCTTATGCAGTTAATATCCTGCCAAAATCAGTTCTTTTTTCATTTTTTTCCCACTTTTAATATAAATGTATTTTAGTATAATAAAACCAGGTACTTGTATTGATTAATATAATGTAAAAATATCAATTTTTTTTTTTTTTTAATCAACTTAAGTAATTTTTGCATTTTAACAGATTTGCAGAGAGTAACTTAATTTTAGGCAGGCTCTATTGCATAGTATCGAATTTAATGTCTATCAGTAACCTTTGTCTAAGAGGAGTTGATCTGTTGTGACTTCAATATGTAATGGGTTCACCCTAAGAGATACTTTTGTACTTGGTGTCACTTCAAAATGTCAAAAGACTTAGGAGCTCTGGGGATTGACCTAGAAGGTGATATGAAAGCCACTAAGTGCAGAATTGGAAGGTTAAATGTTGATGGGTGCACCAACATAAACAAGGATGTGAACTCAGCTGAATTTAGGATATACACACAAGAAAATTAAATAACATATATAAATATCTGGATTATGTGGGGGGAGGAAGATACTTTTTCCAGAAGCTCAAATTGAAACTACATTGTCTTGATTTGGCTGCCGTTAGCTTGACACGGAGTACAGAAGTGAATAATTTTTTTTTTTTAGTCTTATATTTGTATCAGGTGTTACTAACATTACAATTGTATTCATGTTTTGGTGATTCTATTTGCTTCCTTTTTCTGATTTGCTTTAAGCAAAATCTTTTTAGAATCTACAATATGTTATACTTCTCTAAAATTGATTTATTTGCTTTTCTTGAATTTTGGTCAGTATGATTTTTTTTTTTTTTTTTCTGTTAATTTACTTTTCATTGTCATGCAAGCCACAAATACTATTAAAATGGCAGAAAAATTTGAAAGGTTTTTATATAATCAAATTTTTTTTATCACTACATATCTTTAGCGCCTTCTTCATGACAATCCTTACCACATTGACTGTCTCCTTCAGTTGAGTGAAATTTGTAAGAATGGAGAAGATATGCAAATGGCAAAAGAATTAGTAGGTATGTACTTTCTTTCTGTCTCTGAGCATCTCCTATTGTACTTAGGATGTTGTTAGCATGTAAAACCTGCTGGATATTCTCAGCAACTGAAGAACTTGGATATTTAATTAAAGATATAATTTATTTTTTTAAATATTTGGCACTTTCTGACCATCATAAAAGTTGATGTGCCATTTTTCTTCTCTTTTTGAAATATTGACCTGAGAATTTTTACTCTAATTCTGAAAAATATTCTGTAAAATAGATATGCTTGCAATTACTGATGACTTACGAAAGGAAAAATTTAGTAAAGTTTTATTTTTAATATATACTATAATAGAACTTTGTGTATAGGTTCTAACGAATATATATAATGGACTCACTGGCAGGTACTTAAGTTCGGTGACAAAACTAGCGTAGGGGAGATAACTCTTATCAGCGAAACTTGTGTGACGATAATACTACATGCGATCAGACAAAAGCGGTGACCTAGTGGTTATAGCAGTTAAATGTTAGGAATGTGAAGCAACCTGTTTCCTCGTTTTGTACTTATTTTTTTATTCTTCAGTTAGTAATTGTAAACACTGCCCAGTGATGTTACTCTACTTTTGAGTCAACAAGGAAAAAGATATTGATGAATATAGTAGCTTTTGATAGAAAATTATAACTGTCCAATGTTATATTTACTTCATGTGTACTTAATATCTGTAGGTTTTTTTGTTTTTTTTTTTACATGTATTGCTCTCTTTAACAAGAAATTCCCTTTAATAATCCTACTTAGTATATTTCTTCTGTACAAAGGGATATATAATTTTTTAAAAATATAGCCATTTACTTTAGAACTATTGATGTTGTATCCTTCCTTTCATTGTAATTCTTATTTTTTTATTTCACATTATAAACTATTTGCAAAAACAATTTCAGTACATTTATAGTCTTTTCACTTATGTTGAAGATAACTGCTTGATAAATGATTGTATTCATAATTAAAAAAGGTGATCACAAAAGCATATCAGCTCAATAATTTTATAACTTTTAATTTCATAAAGTTATAGATGTTATTTAAGATAATACAAAAAAATGGATGTTTATAAAATATAGTTCCAGATTTGGTTCTCTCATATTTTCTGTATTATCTAGAAATTTTTGTATCAATTACATTGATTTTTTTTTTTTTTTTTTTTTTTTTAAACAAAATGATTTATTCATAATAATTGAGTCAAAACATTTTCTCTGGCTTTCTATGACCATGTGTCATCTTGTAAATAAGTCATAAAAAATAACAGTTCTGGTTTTGATTCCATGAATTTGTCAGAGAATTTTTCAATATCGTGTTGAGATTGTTAACCAGACAAGAAATATTGCATAGAATGAAATGAGTGACATTCCAATGATTGAAGAAAGTACATTAAATGTACAATTTTTCATTCTACTTCCATGATAATTTGGCAATATGAGAACAGGGATTGTCATTGAGCAAGATTACAAGTTTGTTTTTTTGTCAGCCCTCCTCCCCCACCCTAGTAAAAGACCTTTTATAGAATTACTTTTGAATCACAGAAAAGTGTTTTTTCTAATAAATTCATTTTTCTTTACTTTTTTCTGTGCTGAGTAAGACACGTGTTTAAATGCTGAGTTCTGTTTATGTAGGACCAATTTTAGCAAAGGGTTGTAAATGATGTATTGTTTCACTGCTGCACATTTCTGCAATTTTACATATTGTTTGGACTGTATTTTTAACAATTCCTGCAGTTCATTAATTTTCAAATTCTAAAATCTCCCAGAACATTCTTTTATCCTTGCTCTAAATGTATTTTTAAAACTCTGTAAGCCATTTCAAACATAGTCTTTTACCTACTGCATAATTGTTATAACCTTCAATGTCTTGTATCTACAAAACTTTTTCCTATATTAAACAAAGAATAAACACTATGAAAAGTACAAATATATTCAAATGTTATCACTTTCTGCAGTTCTTCAAAAGTATATTTGCATAAGTAATAAAGAACTGAGTTAACTTCAAAGATGCTTCTAAGATTTCCATAAAAATGTTAAGTAAAAGAAGGATGCTGGAAAATTTTCAATGTAATTTATTTTAATCTTGTAAATTCCATCAAAAATAATAAAACAATATTTTGTTATTTTTAAAATATTCAATATTTCAATATTTTTGTAAATGACAGCTTAGTTGATATTTTAGACCCAGTTTGTTTTATATAACCAATATTTATAGAATTTTATTGTTATAATAATGAACCAAAATAAGTTAAATTCTTGTCCTATCAGAGCTTAGCAATTGATCTGAAGTGTCTACAATGAGTTTGGCAAATTTAATCATGCTGAATTCTTCCATTTATTTTTGGCTCTATTGTTAGCAATGATTTTATTCTATATTGTTTGATTTTTAATTTCAATGCTTGTTTTCCTATTCACAGTTTGATAAAAAAAAAAAAAATAGCATTACTTTAATCACACATTTGCCTTGTTTTTATTCATTTTGCATAGAGAGAGCATTGTACTCTTTTGAGATGTCCTTCCATCCATTGTTCAGCTTGACAAAAGGAAATTGTCGACTGGACTTTAGACGCATGGAAAATCGATCATTTTACACAGCTCTCTTCCGGCATATTACCTATTTGGGTAATAAAGGGTGTAACCGAACTGCTTTAGAATTTTGTAAACTACTTCTTAGGTAAGAGTTGATAGCAAAACTTGCTTTGTTTTTTTGTTTGTTTTTTTTTGTTTTTTTTTATCTTAAAGTTAGAAACAATAATGAAGAGAAGTTTTATTTTTTTTTTTTAATTTTGTCTAAAACAACTTCAAATATGCATGTTTTTATAAAAAAAACAAAAAAAAAACAAAATGATCTAAAAATAAAACAGGATTTATTTTCCTAAAGTCAACAAAAAAAAAATTTCACGTTAACTTGATTTAATACTATTTAAAATTGTAATTTTTCAACATATCTTTTTCAGCCTTGATTCTGAATCAGATCCACTATGTGTCTTATTGATGATTGACTACTATGCATTACGAGCTGAAGAATTTTCATTCTTGATCCGATTGTTTGAAGAATGGGAGGTAAAACATTACAATTTTTTGTTTAACAATTATGTCTCTTGAAAATGTGTGTGTGTGTGTATATATATATATATATATATATATATATATATATATATATATATATTGAATCAGTTGCCAAGTCTTCAGCTAAGAAAGTTGATTCACTATATTGTGCTAGATAATTTTTCTCAACAGAATCTATTTTACATATTTATAAGTCTATCATTTGTCCAGGCTTTGAATGTTGCTGCCACATCTGGGCTGGTGCTCCTGCTATATATTTAGAGATTCTTGATAAAATTCAAAGAATGTTATTTGTCCTGACCTGACATCTCAGCTTCAGTCCCTTTACAACTCCTGAAACATGGCTTCCTTGTGCCTTTTTGAGAAATAGTTTCATGGTAATTATTCTGATGAACTTTCTGCTATGGTACCTAGACTTTATGTTCATGTTGATGCCAAGGGCCAGTTGATTGTGGCTGATATTGCCATGAAAAGTGGTTAATTCTGAGTCGTCGTTGTTTATGCGCCCAACAACCGAGAGGAGAGGGTCTTGTTTTTTCAGCAATTGGTGCCATTCCTGGTGAATTCAAAGCACCTAGTCTTAATGGGGGACTGGAATGCCATCCTGGACCCCAAGTTAGATAGGGGGCGGGGAGCTAGTGGGGGAAGGGTCGATCGTAGCTTGGTGGATCTGATCAAATTTGGTCTTGTTGATAGATACCAGGTTGATAACCTCGGGGAGGAAAATGTGGGCATGGGCCTTTAGTTGGCCGTCTACCCAGGTGGTTAGCTTATGGAATTAACACATTAATTCCATCTATATTTTACGCGCGCACGAGTTTTCCTCCCTTCCTTTCACACTCATGCTCTGTGCCCTGCCAGGTTTGCACCCCTTCCTTCCTCTCACAGCTAGACGTAGCAGTAATCTGGAGGGGAACTTCGCTAGCTCCTACTGATGAAGTCAGCCTAACAGATTTTGAATTTTTTCCGCTTTTCTCGGCGTCTCAAACGAACAGCGTTTGCTAGCCAGTTGCCTCCGACTTTTGATCTAACTAGACGGGCAACTCATTTTATTCCGTGCCCTTAACCCATATGCGGGCCGAATATCTTATTTCAACAATGTCGACCTCACACTGTACCAAGATTTCTTCTCGCCTTGAAGCTGCCCGCAGGTCAGACCTTCTCCGTTTTCGACCAGAAGACGTTCAGACACACTGGGACACAGTCGTGAGCAAAACTTGGTATTCAACAAGTGGCTTATTTTTATCTCTCGTCAGTCAATCTTAAATACAGACAGGGATATCTTACTGACGAACAGATATTCTTCGTCCCTTCTGGACTCGCCATGAGTAACTTCACATAGACGATGCAACCAACTGCAAGTAACTCTTCGTCCTTTTGGCTAGACATCCACAGCAATCCGTTAAAATTTTCAACAGTTAATTCAAGAACTGACCAAACTCTGAGACCCTACTTTGAACCTGAACATAAAAAAAGATAAAAAAAAAACACAAAAATTACATACACTCTCAACGCCAAAAAACCCACAGTGAGTACTCCTTTCTATCTGTGCGCACATAACCTCGTGTTTGACGACTTCTTTTTTCCAGAACCTTATAAAACTCTTTTTCCCTGCCTTGTTCATTTTGCTTACCTATTTAGGCGCGGAACATCTTCTCTGATCTCGTACCACGAGATACCTACTTGTTTTTTCCATTTAATAAAAAATTACACATGTTTTGCATCCAGACGCCTTTGTCATTTTATTCCGGCTATCTCTTTGATGTTTATAATTTATGCACTCGTTGATTGACCCCTTTCCTCTCACTGTTCATTCACGCATTTTTCTTTTTATACATTGTTTGTGGACTCGGTAGTTTAGTGTGGTGTCTGGCACAAGGCCACTTAGTAATAAACCAGCACTGCACACTGCCGGGTCTGCAACAAGCTACTTGGATAGAATGTTAGTTAGAGGAGCTGATGTAGACATGTTAGATTGTCCCATGTTTCACTGGGTAGGTTATTCGGACTACAAACTTGTTTGTGCCCAGGTGATGTTAGATTGTAGGCCTAGAATGGCTGGTTATTGGAAGTTCAATCTGTCTTTACTGGACAGGCAGGACTTCCAGGAGCAGCTAACTAGCTTAGTGCAGTGGGAGCTAGTGTGGGTGGTTATTGGGAATAGATGGTGGGAAAGACTTAAGAATAGGATTAGGTCCTTCACCACCAAGTTTAACAAATGGCTCGCCCTAGATAAAGCTAACAAGGTGAAGGCACTTAAGGATAGTTTTTTCCTGGGCGGTGGCTGGGGGGATCCCCTAGAGATAGCCTTAGCTAAGGAGGCCCTGGAGCATTTGACTAGTGAGCACCACGTGGGCCAGATAATTAGACATAGGTTAAGCAAGATGGCATCTGAAGCTGTGAACATGTGCACAGAATTGTGCAAGGAAGTGATCTGTCGGGGTTCCAGTCGTCACATTCACAAAGAAAAAACTCCGGAGGGGCATACTCTTGGGGTCACTGACAAAATGTGCGAAGCATTTTGGTGACATTTCGAGAGCCAGTTTACTAAGGAGCCTGGTCTCTGGGATGATGAGTTTCGTAGCTATTTGGCTGACTTTCCTCGGCTTTCGTTGGCTATGAGGGAGAGATCACGGAGGGCGAAGTCTACATGGCATTGAAGAAGGTCAGCAGAGGCAAGTCGCCCGGTCTGGATGGTTTGCCCTATGAATTGTACTTGAGGCTGTCGCACATCTTTGTCCCAATTTTGACTGTTGTATTCAACAACTGGTTCCGGCAGGGGTTCGTCCCTGACTGGTTCACCAGGGGTGTGATCACACTGTTGAAAAAAGGGCAAGGGTGTTGGGTGACTATAGGCCCATAACTCTGCTAAACACAGTTAAAGATTTTGGCCAAGGTCCTGCAGGAGTGTTTGCTGTCAGTTGCCGAGTCTCTGTTGGGTCCTGAGCAGACTTGCACTGTGAGGGGGCCAAACAATTCAGAGCAACCTGCATCTGATCCGCACAATCATAGAGGATGTAAAGGATGACTAGCAAGCCATGCTGATCAATTTAGATCAGTCCAAGGCATTTGATAGGGTTGACCATCGCTACCTTGCTGCTGTCCTGCAGGCCGCTGGATTTGAACCCGACTTCTGCTGCTGGATTAGCCTGCTGTATCACTCCCCCAGTGCTGTGGTACAGGTGAATGGGAAGCTGTTGGGTGCTTTTGCGCTGTCTCGGTTAGTTCATCAGGGTTGTCCACTGTCACCCTTACTTTATGCTTTGGCATTGGAGACTGTCCTTTGCCAGCTAAGGGATAGGACATGCAGTCTGGCCCTACATGGAATCACTGTCCCTGGAGGGGCTTGTGCCAGGGTTTTCACGTACGCAGATGATGTATCTACTTTCGTGTCGTGCAGTAGCAACATTGAGGTGGTACTGAAGGCACTTGATCGGTACGAAAAGGTGACAGGGGCCAGGATTAACTGCGACAAGTCTTCTGGTTTGCGGTTAGGTGCCTGGAAGCGGGTCGATCTTCCGGGGTCCTTTGGTTGAACAGGCCATCCTGTCCACATTCTTGGAGTGTGGTTTTGACCCAACCTCTAGCTGAAGAAAAACTGGTCAGAAGTATGGGCAAAGGTTGACGTGGCCTGTTAGACTTGGTGCCAACAGAGGTTGTCCATGAAGGGCAGAGCAGAGGCGTGGGTCACTTACGTTGTTCCTCTAGTCCTTTATTGCTTGGCTGTACTTCCTCTCTGTAAAGATCATAATCCTCCATTTTGTGGAGAGGACACAAGCATCAGGTCGACAGAAGTCTGTGCACAACATCAGTGTCATGGGAGGCTGGGAATGCCACGCTTGGTGAGTCACAAGCTCGCCTCAAGGTTTGCTTTCCTACGCTGTGTGTTGACAGGAGATTCGATTATGGCAGGGATTGTAAGGGCCACCTTCTCTTGCCTTACCATCAATTCCCCCATCTCATGGGCTGGTCACCGTCGTAAGCCATGGGTTCTATTGAGTTTCTTTCACGAGTGTCGATACACCTTGAAGGTTATTCCTTAGTCCAGTGACCTTTCTCAGTCTAGGAGGGTCTTCTATCATTATCTAGTGGAGGGGGCCATGAAGGATTCTCTACGTGAGTTGCTCGACTTGTTGGAGGAGGAGTTTTGCTCCTTCTGGTCTTGGACGCCAGTGGCAGATTACCTCAATAACTCTGAGTTTTCACTTACCTGGCGACTGGCTCGGAATAGGCTGCCTCTCAATGACATGGATTTCATATAGGGCTTGGCGGATTTGCCAGACTGTGAATGGTGTGACCTTGGCCTGAAAGGAATGGCTTTGCACACCTTCTACCATTGTCCTCGTGTCCATTGGGGTGATTTCCTGTGGACCCCTTCCCTGGTTAGGCTAGACAAACTTTTGTGTACTAATTAATGAGTAAGTGTTGTTCCTGGCCTGCTCCTGTCTACATATTTGGTTATGATTCAAATTGAGATTCCCAACCTCCCCAGTTTGTTTTGGCCCCCTTTAATGTCGACTGGGTCAGCTTTATTGATTCCCCATGCCCGTCTATATTTTTCTTTTTTTCCCTCTCCCTTAGTGAGAGAGCCTCTTGATTTTGTTCAATGGGCAGAATACAGCGGCCTCTCCTTTTTGAGGGTTGGACGGATCCTACTAACATCAGTTATATTTATTTTGCCTTGTTTGATATTTAGTTTGTTTTGGGTTTCATCCCCCGTCTTATTGTCAAAGTGAATGGGTCATGAATCGGATTAGCTAGGTATAAGATAGTGAAGACTAGCCAAAACCCCTTTCCCCCTATGTGCCAAAATTGTATTAAAAATACAATAAATATCGATACCTAGACTTGATGAATTTAATCACAGTACTAGATTAGCAGAAAGGTTTCATCATTTTACAGTTGAAATTTAAATGCAATGTCAAATGTTATCTGCTGTCTTAATTCTTGTTCTTTCATTTCCTGCTCTCCTTAATAGTAGTTTGTTTTTTTTTTCTTTTCTTCTCATATTCTCAGTAACCTCTTGCATTCTAATGGCTATAAAGCTTACTTGGAGTGAAATGATTAAAAAAAAAGTTTTACATTATAATTTTACATTTTAGTTTGAAGCATTAAAATGCTTTTAATAAAATATGCTTTAATTTATGAGATGGGGAAAAATTTTCTTGTATACTAAGCTTTTGGATTTTTGATGTTATCTGAACAAATGATTTTGAAAATAATTTTAAATTATTAACCATTATATTTCCATGTATATGCAAGCCTTGACTTTATAAACAAAAGCAAACCAAAGTGGCTAATGCTAGAATTCTAACCTCAAGTCAGACTAACATTTAATCAGTATTTATAAATATAAGTAGTGAAAAGTCAGTGAAATTAGATACTAATGATACAACTGAATTTGGTAAAAAAAAAAAAAAAAACCATCAATTCACAATATGGGAAGAGGGTTCATTTTTATTCACGTTTTTGTGTATAGATTAGATTTACTGTTCATATGTTGTAACATCTAACCATGAAACATTTTCTTTTAAAAATTTGAAATTAAATGTTTTTTATATTTATTTGTTACCAAACACTGGGATAAATGTACATGAAATTGAAGGTATTTGTCATCAGTCCTGGTTCATCAATTTGTTTGTAATACAGAGTTCTTAATGAGAAGTAAATATCAAATTATTAATAATAGCTTTCTTACTATCATCCAAATATTTTTTTTTTTTTTTTTTTTTTTTTTTTTTGTGCCATTTACCATGATTTCTAGGGACGTAAATGGTATTTTACATCCCATTTTGAGCTCGTACAATAAAATTGACCTAAAAATAAAAAAAATTTTAATTATTTTAGAATCAGCCAAATAGAAATTAAATTTTTTTTATAATTACAGCCACACAGAAATTTATTGCAGCTGCCAAATTTTGCATTTTCTTATCCATTGGCCTTGTATCAATTGGCAATGCAAAAAGAGAAGTCCACTGAATTGTCTGATGAAAAAGTAAGTTGTTGATTTTTCTTTTCTTTTCTTTTCTTTTCTTTTTTTTTTTTTTCTACAGCAAGCAATATGAAGATGTTGCTATTTTTGTCCAAAGGATCTATAAAATATTACTGAAAAGAAAAAAATGTATAGTTTGCAAATTACTGGTTCAGAAGGGTGTCAAGCTGTAAAACCATCCCAAAACGCTTTTTGGTCTATATTAAGAAATTAAAAAAAAAAAAAAAAAAATGAATGTTCTTACCTGTTGACCAACATAAGTATTCTTTCTGCATAATAAATAAATTTGAGGAATTTTTAGAAAGTTGAATTATAAATATTAGCTCTTGATAAAAAAAATTTTGAAACTTTTAAGTTAAAATTTATCCTATGCTTTGGTCTTCTTCAGGTAATTATCACATTTAATTTTAAGTAATTTTCTTGGACCTCTCATTCCACTTTCTGTGTTTATGGGATATCTCTTATTAGTCAATATTATTCTTTTTTTTGAGGGGGGGATTGTTTCTTCTACTGAACCAGAGTATGATATTTTACATATTACCTGACCCAGAGGTATGACTACCAGCTAACTAGATATATTTTAATACATCTGTCTTTTGGAGACAGTCCAATGGTGTAATTTTTTAGCCTAAAGCCTGTCTGTACTCAAGAGGTGGAATTCTTGATTGCTCTTTTTTTCTTAATCAGAGGCTCACAGATGGTGTTAATCTTTATGCTATGTCTACTGAGAAGATTTTCATAGCTTAATTTGTATGTAGATTCATTGCCATGAGTATAACAACCAAGATGAATTTTCTAGTCCAAATGTAAAGTAGGTACCTCCACTAATTTGCTGAAAAAACAGTATAGGATGATGATAAAAAAACCTAAACTTGATAAAAACAAAGTTTTATTGTTAAAATGTTTGTTATTATTAAGAGGAAAGACCAAAGTACATTTTTATTAAATTTTTAATCCTTCTAGCAAATTCAAAATTTTGGTTAAAATTTTTTTTTTTTTTTTATTGCATCAGTAGTCAGCCAACGATTACTATGGGTAAAAAAAACCAAGATTTGGAAATTCTTGCAAAAATCAAATAATTGTCAGATTTTAATTAAAACTCAAGACTTTTTTTTAGAAATTCTTGATAAAAATATTTATTTTCACATTTACCCCTCCCCACTTACTTAATTTCATGAAATTTTAATTGCAAAATTTGTTTTATTAGTTAAAACCAAGACTCCTTGGAGAATGTAAATCATAAATTTTTTTTTTTTTTTTTAAACAGTTACTTATTTCCCCCAAATCTGCTCTAAATTGTAAAATAAAAAATGCAATAAAACTAAAACATTATTAATGAGAAAAGCTTTTATAAATAAGATTTATTAAGGACACTATTGCCTTAAGAAAAAAATATTTTTTGATGAATAAAGAATTTTTACAAGAATTGTTTTAATTTTTTTCTTTTCTTTTTATTTTTTGAATTTTAATTATAATAATTTGTAAAGTTTCAAATCTTTTAAAATTCTGAATTACTTTAATTGTATTAGGTGATGCATGATTTTATGTGATTATTTACTAACCAAAAATTGAAAAGCTTAATACAAATCATTTTGCACTCAGATTTTTTTTAATAATTTTTCTTTTTATCTGCATAAATGTGCCCATTTTGAAAGTATAGTGGGCCATACAAGACATTATCAGAAAATAAGACCGATGACTATAGTAAATTTAGTCAACATTCCCAAAATTAGATTACAGAGAATATTTTCCAACATTTTTAAGATTACTGAGCACTTGAATTATATAAAAAAAGGGGCTCAGTCGTCATTTTCTTAAATTATGTTTTAACCTATAAAGTCTCTGCTGAAAGCTGTCCTCACCTTTTTGTCACTCATCAAACACATAAACATGGCTACTGTTTTAACAATGCATTTATATGTTATTATAAACAAAGTAAATATTTGTTTCAAATCTGATTAATTATACTTTAAATCAGCTAATATTTCTCAAAGTTTCAGAAAAGTATTTTATTTTTGGAAGATTTTTTTTTAATAAAGAAAATTACATTGTGGTGAAAGATGACTAAAAAGGGGTGCTAATCACAATTTTAGCAACAAAAAAAATAAATTGATTCCAATCAATATAATTTCTGTTAGAAATACACCAGAGTATTTTGCTTACTGGAAATAGTAAATTTCATCCTTTTAACTTTCAATTAAAGCTAAAATGAAAGCTTCAAGAAAGCCTTTTCATTTTAAAAAATTCATTTTAAACCTTAGGTATCGTAATTTAGTAGAGGTACATAATGTAAAGGCATAATAATAATTGCTCATTTTAAAAAGTTCAACTGAATTAGCTTAAGAAAAATTACGTTATTTAGTGTCTTATGGAATGTAAGTCTTAAAATATATATAAAGTAAAAATCTTCACTTTAGTGTTATCTTTATTAATTACTGAGAAGAATAGCACTTTTGAGTCACACAGCACATTCCACTAACACGAGTGCTATTACATGTATAGTAAACACTTAATGTGAGGGCCACAAGTCCCATGGTAGATGTTGCTAATCTATTCAAGTCACATTGTTTAATTATTATTTATTTTTCTTATTTTTGTGCTGTACAGCTGCAAAAAAGTTTGCGACTGTTTCCAGGTATTCTGTTACCTTTGTTGGATAAATGCAGTGTTCATCCAGACTCCAGTGTCACTGCATGTACTTTATTTTCTCAGGCAGATATTAGGTAAGATTTTTTTCTTTCTTTTCATGAATAACAAATAACCTCGTTTTACTGAGAGAAATCATAAGCAAATAATCGGAAATAAAAGAAACTGAATTCCATTTATGTTTTTATATCTTGTAAATGCTGCAACTGAACTATTGATAAATGGTCTTAAACTTATTAATTTCAAAATATACAACTGATTTTGATTACTTTATAGGTACCTAATTTTCTTAACTTGTCTCTAATAAATAAAAGAATTGTACTGCACCTCCAATTGTTCAACAAAAATACAATTCTTAAAATTTATCATAATATTTGTTAAAATTCATTAATAGCAAATAAATAATATTGCTAAAAAAAAATGTATTTTTTTTTTTTTCAGTTTGGAATTTAGAAACCAAACAAAATTACAATAATTGTTTGAATTTCTGGAATGATGAGTTATCTTTATATACACTATCTCTATTTGGACCATTATGCTCAACTTTGTTGTTGTTATCACAACATTTTGACCATTGTACCTTCTGGTCTTCCTCAGGTGTATATTGATCTGGGTAACCTAAACTGAACCCTTTATATAATCTATATAGGGGTAAACTGTTCTCATTCCACTGTTCATATCCAGGGATATTTTATAGTTCTTATTTTTAGTACTACTCAGTTATTGCTGATCTGTTTCTACAGAATTTAAGTACACACTTCCCGACCCAAGTACTGAACTCGATGACTATGTCACCCAAATTCACAAATCAATCCTTAGTATCTTCGTGGATTAAAGTGTTGGCTTGTGAATTTGGCGACACGGTAATTTTGATATATGTCCTTGTGTGTATGTACTGAATTCTCCAATTTACTTTCTTACAAGCACTGATTGATTGTATATTTGCACATAAATTGTAAAATTCTAATTATGCTTTACAGAAACAAAATATATATATATATATATATATATATATATATATATATATATATATATATATATATATATAATCAAGAGAAATATTTTTATATATATATGATAAAGATACAGTTTTACGGTATGATATATTTAGGAGTTAAGATGCTTGATATCAGGGATAGAGCATATGTAAATATATTTTTGGACATTGTGGTCAACACCCAGTGGCAACAGTCTGTTAATGCTAAACACAATCATCAGTCCACTAAGGATTGCGTTTAAGGACAAAACAGACTGTCACTGCTGGGTACTGACCTCAATGCCCACTTATGTTTTTATATATGACAAAGTGGAAAAGCTTTTTTTAAAATGATAACAATAGCATGATGCAGCATATGAGCTAATAGGGTAAAAACTGATCTACTTAGAGTGGGCTAATTTAAGATCAAACAGACATCAATGGCTTCATTTAAAAAAAAAAAAAAAAAAACCTGCTATCTGTTTAGGTCTTATAAGGTAATTTAATTTATTACCCCCTTTTAATCTTAAAAAGCTTAACACATTTTCCTTGCATACAGTTTTCTTTCTTTCTGACATCAAGACAGCAAAGTTTACATGTTGATGAAACATATTGTTATTTAAAAAGGCTTTTCCACTTTGTCCCATAGCCTCGACTTTTGTTTCTGATACTACTGATACCATTCTACATCCTAATGACATAGCGAGCTCTCTCTCTATTTATTTATTTATTTATTATATATATATATATATATATATATATATATATATATATATATATATATATATATATATATATTTTTTTTTAAAAATATGATTCCTTAATTACATAAGTTCTCATGTTTCAAAAACGAGGCGAAAACCCTTAATATAATTATTAAAATTAAATTGAATTAAAATAACGAGCCCTGTTTCATCCTCAAGCCGAAATTTAGGAATAACCATCTTGAAATTTACGCATTGTTATAAGCATGTTCATTCATTACTATGGAAATGGCTGGGGCGACCATTTTTGATAAGGGGCCTAAGAGTTAATTTTTATCCACATATCAGTCACCTTCAGGAAGAGGTCAAGCTGAGGTAGGGTGGGGTGTCTATTTCAAAGTGAATGATGGCACTCATGTACACACATCGTCTGGTTCAGTCACAGTGATAGATAGATTTTGGCACCATGGTATATTGTTAAGTGTCTGGATAATTTTGTTTTATTTTATTTTATTAATTTATTTATTTATTTCCAACAGGCTGTTTCATATATAAACGCATCGCACTGAACTACAATTTGTTTTTTTGACGACTTCATAAAGGGTTTTTCTAGTTAATGATTGGGTTAAGCTTTTAAGCCCTTTATTAAACTATGAAATTTGATTATTATAATTTCTGATTTTCTTAAAATAAGTTTTGAAAAAATAATTGATATTTAAAAGAATTTCAAACTGAGATTTTCTTCTTTTTTTTTTATGTTAATTATTTAATGCGAAAATTTGTTGATGTTGGCAAAAAACTGTTAACTCGTGTCTATGGTTTAATAAATTTTCATTATTTAGAAACTTAATTATGTGTAGTTTTTCATGTAGGCATAAAGGGCATGGGTCATCCTAGGTTTTACAAGTTCTTATTCTATTTATTATTTTCCATTTTACTTTTGGTGTTTTATTCATTTCTTTTAAATGCCAAAAATATTTGGATAGAGATGTCTGACTTCTAATATTATTGAAGGAGCTTTTGCGCTTCCCCCACCTAATTTTAAATTCATTCTTCGTTGACCCAGTGTATATCCTATCAGTGTTAGGACTCTCAATGGATGAGATAGTGCATTAGTATACTACGGATTTTATGAGGCATTTATTTTCCAACGGGCAGTCTTCAGGGTTTCTACAATCACATAATTTTTCATTATTTTTGTCTGATTTTAGTTTAGGATTTTTATTAATACTATTTTAGCATGTGTGTGTGTGTGTGTTTCTAGGATTTTATTATTGTGTTTTTTTTTTTTTTTATGATTCTTTCTAGATTTTCAGTGCAACTGTAACTTAATTTTAAGTTCTTTTTATTAAAGATCTCGCTAAGTCTGCTTTTAGTAGGGAAGTTTTTTTTCAATTAAAGCTAGGAACTTATGTCCTAGCTTAGTACTAACCATTTGGTTGAACGGAGGGGTATACCAGATGATTTTTCTTTTCCTGTTTTTCTTTCTGTTAGTGTAGGTACCTCCACGAGATCGCTAAAAAAAGAGCATAGCATGATGAAAAAAAGATGCCAAACTTGACGAAAACAAAATTTTATCGTCTAAATGTTTGTTATTATTAAGAGGAAAGGTCAAAGTATTTTTTTAGTATTTTTTCCATTTTTTAATCGTTCCTAGCACGTCCGAAATTTTCGTTAAAAATCTAGTTTTTTTGAGTCGTCGGCAAAATTGACCATTTTTCCATTTTAAAAAAAACTGGAAATCTGACTTTGAAATTTTTTTAAATATCAATTATCATTTTTCAAAACTTATTTTAAGAAAATCAGAAATTATAATGTTTATTTAAAATATTTTGAACAAAACTTAACTTAGCTTTTGTGCCAAAAAAAAGATGTAATTTGAAAATAAAACAAAGCAGGTCATAAACTTTAAGCGTCTCTTGACTTGTGATGAATGATATATTTACGAATTCCATGAGGCTAATTTGTTCTCTTGAAGGAGAAAAGTGAAATAATTTACATTTACGTGAACAAATTATTTACCCGTTATTTTTAACAAAAACTTTCAGCAGCGGTTTTTTTTTTTTTTTTTTTTTTTTTTTGTACTTTCACCTTTACGTTTATGATGCTTTATGGGAAATATATTGTAAAGAAATTAAAATAAAACTGTTAAGAGTGACATTAAATTTCATATTTCTTAAAAAGGTATCTAATTAATTTATAGGTACCTTTCTTATGAAATTTTATCAGAATTGTACATAAAATACTATAATTTTATGTACATTTATTACATTCTACTGTTATTTGTATTTGCATTCATTTTATTATTAATTTTGATATTTCATTTATGGAAAAATGTCGTAACTGAGATTAATATAAAAAATAAGATCATATAAATTTCATAAGATGATACTGATACTTGTAGGTACCCTTCTCAGTTGAAATTGAAAAAATCAAATTAACTTCTCCACGTGTTTACATAAAAAGTAAAGGCCTTAACAGCGGAGAACAATGCTTAACTCAAATAACGCAACTTAATTATATTCTGGTTGGTCTTCCGTATTTTATAATTACAGCTCGATTATAAGCACAAAATTACATTTCTTAATTACTGTGGATCTTCTGATTAGTCAAAATGATACAATTTACAACGCGCTAAAAAAAGATCTATCTCATAAGGACACTTATGAAAGCCGATGTGGCTTTTAACTAATTTTATAATATTTTAACAACTTAAATGTAAAATCTATTATAATTAATGAAATAACAAATAATTGTATTAAAAATTCATTTTTCATCGAAAAAATTTTTTTGCTTTATATTTATAATAATTTCAATCATCTGTGAATAGTTCCTGAAAGTTTCATTAACATCCGATAATTATTTCTATTTTTGCACGATTTTTCAAATTAATGTGTGTCATACCAAAAAAACATGCTAAAAATTGTCTATGTTATTTACTAGTTCCGCTGATACAAATAGAAACAAGGTTTTTTTAATCAAAATTTAGAATGTTCTAAAAAGAAGGAAAATTTTTTTAAAAAAATTAAAAAAAAACTTTGGTCTTTCCTCTTAATAATAACATAAGCATTTAGACAATAAAATTTTGTTTTCGGCAAGGTTGGCGTCTTTTTCATCAAGCTATGCTCTTTTTTTTTAGCGATTTCGTGGAGGTACCTATGTTAGTGCTATTGTTTCTATAACTTATGTTAGCATTTTTGTATCTGCTATTTTTTAAGGCTGTGTTATAAAAATTACTATGTTGTCGGAATATTTCCTTATTAGCGGAGTTCATGCTGATTCTTTTCTCTATTGATGTGGGTATATGCTTAATTATAGATGAAGGGTGGTTTGACTTAGGGTGTATATACACTAATCCCGTGTATGTATGTACATCCTAAGTTTCCATAGTAACGAATGAGCATGCTTATAACGATGCATAAATTTCAAGATTGGTTATTCCTAAATTTTCGCTTGAGAATGAAACAGGGCTTGTTACTTTAATTCAATTTAATTTTAATAATTGAGGGTTTCCGCTCTCATTTTTGAAACATGAGAACGCTTATGGAGCGAAGGAATCATATTTTTAAAAAAAATAATTATAATTTAAGCTCTACTTCTGTATGGAGCACTGTTTTTTAAAAACAAAAATACTAAAGAACTCCGGATTATTTACCTAATGTGTTCTTTCCTATTTTTCTACATACCTACACACACACACATACACACACATATATATATATATATATATATATATATATATATATATATATATATATAAGGAAACTTATTCCGTCCTCTGATGTACTTCTTTATCAAGGCAAATATGAGGATTTTATTTTGCAACAAGTATTTATAGACAAAAGGTTTTATAAGTTTCCTTTTGTATTTATTCATAGTTTTTTTTTTTTTTTTTTTTTTTTATTACTGTTGTAGTTATATCTGGAATATATAGGAAATTGGAAGACTAAATGAAAAAAATTATTTGTTACTCATTTCATGCATTAGAACTTCATCGGACTGGGTTTGTTAACCTTGTTGTATATACAAGCAAATATTCAAAAAGTTTTTAATTTTTTAATGCTTGTTTACTTTTACTTTAGCATGCCCGGTGGCCTTCGTCAGTTGATAGGGTTGTATGTTGGACGATCTTGGCCATGTTGGAAAGAACCACATGTGATATCCTGGCTTGAGAGAAATGTACATGTGGTCATTGAAAAAGCAGTGAGTGAATCTGATGTAGACTTGGAATATTACAAAAGGTGATAATATTTTTTTTATTTTAAGATCATTTTTAAGCACATATGACAATCACTTCTTTCCTTTGCATTGGATTTTAATTTCATCATTTTTTTTTTTTTTTTTTTTTTCTTTATTACCTGAAGGTGCAATATGCGGTATCGAGGAACTCCAAGAAACATCAGCAGGCATATTCTTCTATCAGAAATTAAAGAAGCTATGACAGACCTACCACCTGTAAGAATCTGAATTTATACCTTTTTTTTTTTTTCTTTTAACATGACTTTTTGTTTTAATGATGATTACACTTGGCACTTTGTTAGGAAAAAACTGATTTCAGTTTTGAAGACTGACTTTGTTTTACCACATTTTCATGATATGGCCAACAAAGTACTGCAGAACTTTGCTTGACTCTCATTTTCAAAAGAGTCACATGGCATTGAGGTTTTGTATCTGGTGTGTATCTTTTGATTGTATTTGGGAGGATCAGGCCATTCTTTAATGTCGGCAAGTATTAGATTTGTACTACAGGCATATTTTGTATTCATTGTATAGACAGTGTCCCTGTGTAGTTTTCTATTCTTTTCCCCTCTATGATTAATTTACTATAATGTGCACTTGAGGATTATTTAATATTTCTCCACATAATAGTATCAAATTGATTAAAGGATAACATAATCAATGATAAAAATATTTTAAAATTGAAGCATTCATTAAAAAAATTCTAGAACATAATGAAGCCAAACATTTTTTTTTCCTGAACATTTCCTTTTATAAATTGTCAGCTTTTTTTTTTTTCTATTTCAGTTTAAAAAGTTTTGGATTTAAGCAAAACGATGCATGCACAAAAAAAAAACAATTTATGTACTTTTTCTGTTATCTGGATTGATTTGAATGAATTCTAAGATTTACTTCTGATTTCCAAATATAGAATTTTAAGGTGATTATTCTAGAAAGTAAATAGGATACCAGGAAAATTTTATCAAAATTACTAAATATAGTAAGTGAAGGTAATAAACATTTTAGCACAAATTTGAGATACTAAGATTTAAATAATTGAAGAATCTAATCATTGAAATCAATGAATAACTTTCCATTTGCTTACATTATTCTGTTATTTTTTCTTTTTGTAAATGGAATTGGATTATCAAATTTGCCAAAATATACTTTATGGACAGTATTTTTGCTTAAGTAATTAATCACAATGTAAATATACTTATTTACATTGATATATAAATGTAAACTGAGAATGATGTTAGCTACATAGCAAGTAAAATATATATTCCATATGTGTAAAAAAAAAAAAAAAAAAAAGACCAGATTACTTTTGAATAGCTATAAGCATAAAATGCGCAAGGATAAGAAAGATCTTTCTTAATATTATAAAAGTACTCAATTTTATTTTTAAACACTTCAATTGTAGGACGTAACAAATTCTGTGATTTTGAGCCATGATATTCTTCCCCCTGAAGATAACATTGAAACATACAGCAGACCAACACAAAGGTTTGGGTAATAATTTTATATTTTTTTGAAGTCTAAAACATTTAGTAAAAGATAATTATTTGCTGTATGAAGTTATTCTGAAGTAAATAAGTTATGAGCATGTATTTCCATTATTTTTTTTCCAATTGTTTTGTTGTCTTTATCAACATTGGTAATTTATTAGCCCTCTGATCTATCTCTATTGCATTGAAGACAATGTTTCAGCTAACCAGCCTTCTTTGGGTGAATGTTTTAGTTAAAACCAATTTACTTAATCCTTTGTTTTCATAGTTGGTACTATTCCTAGGGATTGATGTGTAATGATCATATGAGAAAATCATTACTGCTCCAAAAAGTTAAAGTTTACTTGAAGGCTGGATCGTACACCAGCTGAAACCTTATAATAGATCAAATAACAAAGGTTATGAAATATGTTGAAATAAAATTACTTGGTGACAATGCCTCATCTCCAGACTTTAGACAAATTTCAGCAAAAAATTTAAGTTATTTTACCAAATGACTAATATTCACAAAATGAATTTTTCCTTGTAATATTGTTCTAGCTATTACATTTTTTTTCCATATATGTTAAATCATAGAATCTATTTTATTTGTTTGTCCTGTTCAGTTTCAATTTTCAAACATTAAGTTTCTGCTAGATTATGTATATTATAGATTCATATATCCAAAATATATAATTTAATATCATTAGTAACGTAACAATTTTTTTTTTTTTTTTTTTCTTTTTGTTTCAGTGACATAAATTTATAATACCTAAAAATCTATAAGGGAAAACATTTTTTACATTTTGTGTTCTGGAAAATTAAGTGTAATGTTGAAAATTTAAAATTTTTTTTTTTTTTTTTTTTTTTTCAATGAAAGGAGCATTTTTATTTTTTTGCAATATTTTCTCTTTCTTTTTAAGGCCTCGAAGAGTGGAAAGCAGTAGCAGTGTGGCCAATTTTTTTCGATCTTTATTACCAAATTTTTCAATAGATGTAAGTAAAACATACATAAACCACTTAGCTTATTGTTTTTACTGCTTTTAATGCTGGAAATTCAACTTATTTCATAAACACTAGTGTTGTGTAATTTAAATTAAATTTATATGCTGACTTGAAATAAGTTGATACAGAACCAGTGTGGAGATTTTCAAATATTTTAAAATTGTAAATGTTCAGATTTTGGAAAAGAGCGGAATAAAGTTCCTAGTGTTATTCATTATAAGTAAAGAAAAAAAAAAGCTTTACTATGTGTGTTTATATTTCCTATTATAATTTTGCTTTCTTTATTCTCCCTCACCTCATATATCCCATGCTCAGCCTTGATTGTCACCATATTTAACCTTCACTACTATAATGTCTTTTAAAAGAGTAAACCAACAATTAGGCAGGATGAAAGTGTATGTGAAAGGAAAATGTTTGAAAACTCCTGACCAAATAGTAATTTTTCAAGCATAACTTGGATGTGGCACAAGGCCGAAAGTAAGGGGCACCCAGTGAGGATTGAACTCACTACTCAGTCATAATTGTTATAGCGAGACAAGCTTGCTAACCATTACACCACCTCAAGGTGCCCAAACTCCTGACCAAATATAATGTAATCTAAATTCCTTCATTTAAAATGCAATAATTCAAAGAGACTGAATTCATTACATAAAATGATTTGGAATAATGCTTTTAATTGGAAATAACAAGCTATGTTAGTATTAACTGTTTGTTTATTGTTTCAAATATTTACTTAATTTAGTATGGCACAAGGCCAAATAGAAATGAGAGAATGATGATTGTGTTTCATTCACAAGATAGTCTGCTAAGCATTAACTTAGGTACCTCCATGAGATTGCTAAAAAAGAGCATAGCATGATGAAAAAGATGCCAAACTTGCTGAAAACAAAATTTTATCGTCTAAATGTTTGTTATTATTAAGAGGAAAGATTGAAGTTTATTTTAATTATTTTTAAAAATTTTTCCTTCTTAGAACAATCTGAATTTTCTGTTAAAAATCCTTGTTTCTTTTTGTATCACCAGAACTAGTAAAATAACATACACAATTTTTAGCACATTTTTTTTGTATGACACACATTAATTTGGAAAATCTTGCAAAAATTAAAAATAGTTGTCAGATGTTAATGAAACTTTCATAAGCTATTCACAGATGATCAAATAAATGTTTTCTTTTATTAGTCATGGCAGGAATATTATTTTTTATATTTATTACCCCACCCCCCCAACTAATTTTATGAAAACTCTAGAAATTCGATCGAGTCCACTTTAGTAATTACAATAGTTAAAAACACTAGGCTTTGAGGAATGCAAATCATGTTTTTGTTTTTTTTGTTTTTTTTTTTAATTGGACCACCCCGAACCCAACCCACCACCACCACCACCACCTGAAAATCAGCTCTGAATTGTAACATACAAAACTCAATAAAACAAATATATTATTTAATTTCAAATACTTTTATTTGCTTTTAGTTGTTTTTATAAATATGGATAATATTTTCTGAAAGCAAAAAAATTTTTCAATGAAAAATGAATTTTTAATACAATTATTTGTTAATTTTTAATTATAATAGAATTTTACATTTAAGTTGTTAAAATATTAAAAAATTAGTTAAAAACCGCATCCACTTTTGTAAGTGTCCTTATGAGATCTTTTCTGTAAATTGTATCGTTTTGACTAATCAGAAGACCTGCAGTAATTAAGAAATGTAATTTTGTGTTTATAATCGGGCTGTAATTATAAAGTATGCAAGACCAACAAGAATACATTAAGTTGTGTTATTTGAGTTAAGCATTGTTCTCTGTTGTTAAGGCCTATATTTTTGCAGAACACATGTGGAGAAGTTTATTTGATTTTTCAATTTCAACTGAGAAGGGTACCTACAAGTATCAGTATCATTTTATGAAATTTATATGATCTTATTTTTACATTAATCTCAGTTATATTTTTCCATAAATTAAATATCAAAATTAATAATAAAATGAATGGAAATACAAATAACACAGTAAAATGTAATAAATGATAAAATTTCATAAGAAAGTTACCTATAAATTTAGATACCTTTCTTATGAAATTTAATCTCACTCTTAACAGTCTTATTTTAATTTCTTTATAATATATTTTCAATAAAGCATCATAAACGTAAAGGTGAAAGCTAAAAACAAAAATTAGAGTGCTGAAAGTTTTCCTTAAAAATAATGAGGTAAATAATTTGTTCACTTAAATGTAAATAATTTCACTTTTCTCCTTCTGTAGAACAAATTATCCTCACAGAATCCGTCAATATGTCATCGCTTGTCAAGCAACGCGAAAATTTATGACCTGCTTTGTTTTATTTTCAAATTAAGCTTGGTTCAAAATATTTTAAATAAACATTATAATTTCTGATTAATTTCTGATATACTTAAATCTTTGTTATTGTTAATTTATTCTGAGCTTAAAATTTACTGTTTTCTAAAAGCATTAATTTTTAACGTCTTTTATTTATTATTTATTTTTTACTTGTGTATATCACTAACCTACATTAATTTCAAGATTTTACTTTGGAATGAAAATACCAGATTGTTTGTGATGGCAAGATATAGAGTATAATACAAATATCACCTTGAGGATGGCATTACTGCCACTGTAAATAAGATCTGTCTCTTTATTTTTAAATTCCAGGAGCCAATTCCAGAAGAGATGGGTGCTGCAGGGGGTAATCGAGGTTTACATCTTACACAGAGTATTGAGACCTTATTGGATGCTATGAGGGATCTGATGGGAAACATCCAGCCTGTTCCACCTCCTGTGGAAAATCCACAACCTGGAGCTGACAATCAAGAACACAATGAGGAAGAATGGAACTAAATGATGGAACCATCTTTTCTAACTGTGTATAATGAATAAAAAAGACTATATAAATAAAATTGTTAATTAAATACTCATTACATTGACTTTGTTTGAAGGCATTTTTGAATTGTGAATTTGTACTTAGCAAGAATTTATAATTATACATATGTGTATATGCACATGTACTGAAATAATTTAGAAAAATTTAAAAATGAAGCAAAATGAGATTGGAGAGGAAAGAAAAATTTGAATACAAAGTGTTCTTTGATATTGTCAACACTTGGACATTGTATATAGCAACCTAGTAACTTAAAATATATATTTGTAATCCCACTTATCCATAGAGGAGATATTCCAACATTCTCTACTCAGTTGATATTTGGAACCATTAAAAGTACTGCATCCTCTATCTTGGTTATTGATGTAATAACCTGTCCCCCCCCCATGAGTGACTACACTATAGGTAGTAACTACCTATAAGTATCTGTAAGTTAACTAGATTACTGAGTCTAGCTGGGATCTTTTCAGGTGTGCTGGTCAAGCTCTCTGCCTCTGGACAGAGGATCCCCAGACGAGGCTACGTTGAAGAGCAGTCTTATCTCAGGAAACAGCTATCTGACCCCGTTTCATACAGGGTCTATGGGGAATTTTTTAGCTGAGTCTATGGGCTCGGATTACTCCATATTAAACTCAGCCTTGTGCCTCATCCTATCTCGTGGGAGGCTGGTAAATATCATCTAGCTGGGATTTGTTGAGTATGACTCGGACTTTACGCAAGAATTACTGACCTTCCAATAGTAGCATTCACTACTGGGTTGACTTGCGATGACCTTTATTCTTATTGTATTGGTTTTTACAATAAACCTTTACTTATTTTATCCACCGTGTTTTTCAAGTATATATTCCTATTAGCATGGAATATTACAGTGAAACGAGGATTGTTGAATCAAATTCATTTACAAAAATACCAAATTTCAGTGATGCCAAAAATTCACAAGAAAAATATTTGTCGGCTATACATTTGGTTTACAGGAGTTTTGAAGTATGACAACACCTTAGGTTATTATAACATTTTACAATCAGAGGAAGACATTCTGAAAAGATTTATCACGTAAAATAATCTTTTAAAAGTAAGAATATTTTTGTTGTATTCTTTGTTTTGTTTTTTTTTTTTTTGTTGCACCTTGTTTTTTGTTTTTTTTTAAATAGGAAAAAAAAAAAAAAAAAAAAAAAAGTCACATCACAGATTTGAGCCCAGGTCATTAACATTAAAAAAAAAATTTTTTCTTTTATCGAACTTATTAATGTTCCTAGCCTGTTATTCGAAAATTACACAAGCCGTTCACGGAGAGGATCCTTTGCGACCCCCTCCACTAATTCACGATACAAGACCTTTCGAGGTCGTGAAAGGTCACTGGACCGAGGAAAGGCTCTCAAGACCACTCAACACTCGTTAAGGAAAGTCGACAGTTTCCCGGGCCTATGATGGTGCTTAGCCCAGGAAATGGGAGTAGTGATAGTAAGGCTAGGGAAAGAATCCCTAACACTCCCCACCAAAATTGAACCCTCAGTCAAAATGTGGCCTAGGAAAGCCAACCTCGAGGCGTGTCGATGACTCAGCAAGTGTGGCATTCCCAGCCCAAAGACATGGACACTGCACAATATTCTTTACGGACCTTTGCCTTGCGCCCATCCCACAAGAGGGTGAACAACAAGTGCTCAATCGCCTTCTGATAGTCCTTGCAAAGAGGAAATACAGCCAAGGAAAAATGTAAGTGGAACACACCTCAGCTCTATCCTTCAAGGACAAACTCTGGAGCCAAGTCTGAACCGACGCTCTGACCTTTGCCTGTACTTCTGACCAATTTTTCTCCAGCTAGAGGTCGGGTTCAAACCACACTCTGAGAATGGGGACAGGACCGTCCGTCCAACTGAAGGGCCTCGGAAGAGAGACCACCCTTCCAGGAACCTAACCGGAAGACTTGTTGCGGTTAATCTTGGTCCCTGTGACCTTTTCATATTGTTTAAGCACCTTCTGTACCACCTCAATGTCGCTGCGACATGAAAATGGATATGTCATCAGCGTACGTGGAAACCTTGACTTGAGCTCCACCAGGGACTGCAATTCAACGTAGGGCCGGACAGCTGGCAAAGAAGAGGCTCCAACGCCAAACCGTAAAGTAGGGTTGATAGTGGGCAACCCTGACGAACCGATCGAGAGCGCAAAAGCACGCACCTGCTTCCCATTCACCTATACCACAGCACTTGGGGAGCGATACAGGATGCTAATCCACTTACAGAAGTCTGGTTGGAACCCGGCGGCCTGCAGGACAGCAGCCAGGTACTGATGATCGACCCTATCAAATGCCTTGGACTGATCCAAATTGATCAGCGCTGCCTCATCGTCGTCTTTTACTCCCTCTAGGATTGTGCAGATGATATGCAGGTTGCTCTGAATTGTTCAGCCCCTCACAGCACAAGTCTGATCAGGTCACAACAGACTTGGCAACTGACTGCAAACGCTCCGTCAGGATCTTGGCCAAAACCTTTAACTCTGTCTTTAAGTTATGGGCCTGTAATCATCTAATTCCCGCCCTCCATCCTTGCCCTTTTTCAACAGTGACCACACCTCTGATGATCCGATTGGGGATGGATCCCTGCCGAAACCAGTTGTTGAACACGGCAGTCAAAATTGATACAAAGATGTGCGACAACCTCAAGTACAATTCATAGGGTAAACCACCAAGTTCTGGAGACTTGCCACTGCCGATCTTCTTCAATGCCAAGTGGACCTCGCCTTCCGTGATCTCTCCCTCGCAGCTAGCTGCTTAAGTCGGCTCAAGCCGAGGAAAGTCAGCCAAATAGCTGTGAAACTCATCACCACTGAGACCAGGCTCTTTGGTAAATCTGCCATCGAAATGCCGCCAAAATGCCTCACACATATCGTCAGTTGACCTCAGAATACACTCCTCTGGTGTTTTGACCTCACGAATGTAATGATTGGAACCTCAACGAATTTCTTCCTTGTGCAATTCTGTGCCCATGTGCTTAACTTATGCTTAACTACCTGACCCTTGTAGTGCTCGCTAATCAATCACTCAAGAGCATGCCTAGCTAAACCTATCTCTAGGGGATCCCCCCCCAGCCTCCACCCGGGACAGACTATCTTTAAATGTCTTCACTTATTAGCCTTATCTAGTGCGAGTCTCTGGCTATATTCGGTGGTGAAGGACCTAATCCTATCCTTAAGCCTCTCCCACCACTTATTCCCAATAACCGCCCTCACTAGCTTCCGCTGCACTACTTTAATTAGCTGTTGCTGGAAGTCCTGCCTGTTCAGTAAAGACAGATTGAACTTCCAGTGTCCAGCCATTCTAGGCCTAGAATCTAACAAGTCTGTGGTCTAAATAACCAGTGGAACGTGGGACAATCTAATAAGTCTATATCGGCCCTTTTCACTAACATTCTATCCAGGTAGCTGGCTACCTGGGTAGACGGCCACTTACGTGTCCACGTCCACATCTCCTCCATAGGATGATCGACTCGGTATCTATTGATGAGACCAAAATTGCCGATCAGATCAACCCGGCCATGATCTTCCAATGACCTCTCACTAGCTCCCCGCCCCCTGTATATATCAAATATAGTAATTTTATAAGTGTAGATTAGATGTGGTACAAGGCCAAAATTAGGGGGCATCCTGTGAGGATCGAACTCACTACTCAGTCGTAATTGTTCTAGCGAGCCAAGCTTGCTAACCATTACACCACCTCGAGGCAAATGAAGAAAGAGAGAAAACAAGCTTGTGTATGTTATTTATAGATAATGTAATCACATGACAGGATCACAGAAAATGGCGGGAAATTTGACTTGGTCACATACTGGAAAAAATATTTGTATGTGGGTGAATTGCAATGGCCACTTGTGTGTTTATTGACCAATTAGAAGCTGATATTTCCTGAAAATATTTGCTAAGCCAAGCAGACTCTCTGATCCACTTTTTGGCACAAAAATGTACAAAATTAGAAGAAAGTGGTAGTGGGATGCTACACGGTGAAAGGAAAAGATGTGTATGCAAAAGGCACGTAAACCAGTTAAGTTCAAGATACTCTGAAATCATTCAACAGGATGATGAAGAAACTCTGTTGGATGTCCTGTACGACACGTTTGAATAACACCACCCACTAACATACCAGAACACATGGATACATCTCCTACACCAGCTTTGCCAGTAGAATCGAGATGTTACTCAAGGAAAAGAAAACCCACAGTGTGGTTAAATCTAGAACCGAAAAAGAGAAAGTATTAGAAAGCTAAATTTTCTAGAGGAAAATTTCAAGTCAGGGAAGGTGATGTAATGGAATAACCTGTCACCCCATGAGTGACTACACTATAGGTATTAACTTCCTATAAGTATCTGTAAGTCAATGGATTACAGAGCTTAGCCGAAATCTTTTCGGCTAGACGATCGAACTCTCTGCTTCTGAGGAGAGAGGAACCCGGACAAGGCTCAGCCAAAGGGCAGTCTTGTTCGGGGAGGTTGACCAACCTGATCCCGTTATGCGGGTTCTACAGGCATTATTCTAGCTGAAATCTTTCAAACTCTGGGCAGGGAGGAACCCAGATGAGGCTATGCTGAAAGGCAGCGTCTTGTCTAGGGTGGTAGACAGCTACCCTACCCCGTTTTTTACGGGATCTACAGGGAATTTTTACCCGAGCATACGGGCTCAGATACACCACGTTTAATTCTGACCACATGGGTCGGTTGGCAAGTATCCTAGCTGAAATCTTTTCATTTGTACTGTCGAACTCTCTGCCTTTGAGCTATGCTGAAGGGCGGAGGCTCGTTCTGGGATGTAGACTGGCCCGATCCGTTTATGCAGGGTTACAGGGATTTTTTGGCCCAGCCTACTGGCTCAGGAACCCCACATTAAATTTGGCCTTGTGCCACATGTGACTGCATGGGGCATTTGCTAGATACTCTAGCTGGAATCTTTTTCAGCTGTGCTGGTCAAGCG